GAAAAAGTAGGGTAGTAGAATAAGCCGAAAGTCACCCGAAACCAGTCTCTCGCGCTGGCGTGGACGGAACTGCAATAGAGAGGCATAAGAACAGTCTTACAGCTATGGGACTAGCTGTCTACTAAGAGGGGGGTAGTGTAACGATGTTACAACTTCGCCATGTATCGGACCAATCCCAGAGCCGGATCGGAGGTAGTACTCGCCGCCCTCTTCATCAACCACTCGTTGTGAGGTCGAATCCGATTCGGATCCGACTAAGATAAGTATATAAGGAGACACTCCCTGTAGCTAGCTCTGTAGACTTTTGATATCCTTTCGTACAAGGCCTATAGGTGTCTATTCGAATTAAGGCTCGTTTGATGTCCCACGCACTCCCATATGCCTCTGAGTGACACTACCGCCGATACTGATCCGAGTAGTCTTGCCTGCGCCGTTACACTAGCTGCGTTAATTACTGTAATCAGTGTTACCTACTTACGATTACTTAGCTTAACTACCTTTAGCCAGCCTCTCCGCTCTAACGCTGTTATAACTAGCTAAGTCGTGATCTTACCTATTATAAAGCTAGCTTCGTCGAAGTTATAGACGTTCTTATTATAGATACTATACTTAGCCTTTATCTACTCTATAAGCTTAAACTAGCTCTTAATTAGAACTAGATCTTCGCATAGAGCTCTCTATCTATTATAAGCTCGATTAAACCGCGTTATAAGCCTATCTATACGATTAATAAAGTTACGTAGCTAGTGGACGCTAACCTAGCTAGCGCCGCGTGTAGCTAACAGTCTATTAGCTATATCGCGCACAGCTACGTAGGTAGGCGAGAATCCACATAGATTAAGATTAAGTATATAATTAACAATCACCTCCTCTTCTAGCTTAGTAAGCTTCTTTAAGTTGGGCTAGCAATCGCGTTAGGCAGGCCTACCAGCGCGTCAGCAGCGGAGCGTTGTCTTAGCTATGTTATAGAGTGCTGCAGTATATTTATTACTTTAGATCTATTTACTAGCTATAGAGGAGATAGCAAGCTGTACGTCCGCTTCGTTTGATACTATTTAAGTAACGTTGCGTGGGGCCATAGTATGATAAGATGAGAGAGGTGTGCAAAGTTAGTGGGGTGCGCCACTCGCTTATACGCGCCGCTCGCTTGTAAAACACGTTATATATACTAACACTACTAGTATAAGAGACTACTATATAGAAGCTAAAAACGCCGTATAACGTGCGCGAAATAGAGGCGTACACTATACTTATTTAAAACTATATATAAATCTAGTAAGAGTCTTCTATAACTTCTCTTAAAGAGTAGATATACTAGTTAAGTAAGAGAGCTTAGTAGATAGCTTATAATATAGTACTTATATATAAGAAACTTAATTACTTTAAAGCTATAATTACTAAAGTAATAAAGTAAAAAACTTATAAGAGGCGCTACCTATAAGTAGAGAGATCTTAGATAGTTAGCTAGATAGCTAATTAGATTACTAAGGTAGAGAGTAGTAGATATAATAATAGTGTAACGTCTGCGAAGAGAGTACGTAGTAAATAGTACTATAGGCGTTATAGCTAAACTAGATATAACTCTTACACTTACTAAGTAGAATTAGAGAATATAGAGGATAGCGATAAGTCTATTAAATAATATCTTATTCTACTTAATAATAAAGATTATAGTAGTATTACGTAAGAAGTATTATAAAGTTGTTTTAATAAGAAGACTACGCCGCTGAGTAGAGTGCGCCGCTCAGTGGTAAAACACGTTATATTTAAAATTTTCAAGACCTCTATACTTTAAATAGTAAGTTATTAGTTTATTTTAGTGTATCTACATTTCTATAATATAGAAAGAATTATCTACTGCGTAATTATACTTTACTATAATGTGTAAAAAAAGTAAGATAAAAAAGTTAAAAAGGTACTTTCTCTATAAAAGGATAGCTTATATAACAATAAATAGAACTAACTATTAATAGTTAAGTAGAGGTAATAGTAGGTAATATGTATATATAGTTAAGATAGGTAACGATAAAACTATATACTTTAAGCTTCTTTTATAGAAAGCTTAAGTACTCTAGTTAACACTAAGTCCGTTCTTATATATCTAACTAATTATATTAATCTTATAAATCTTACTCCTAAGTCTATAATTTATAATATCTATATGTAACTTATAAGCTTCTAACATTATAAGTAATATTAGAAGATTAGAAATCTATAGGCTGATTTTAAATTAGGTATAAAGAAATACATGGTAGTTAAAAACACGGCTAATAACAATACTAATGATTACCTTCAAGATCATCTAAAATTCTTAACTTATATTAGTAATTTCAAGGTTACTAGTATAACGCTAATACTACTATTATAATAAATATAATTATATAAATTGTTTACTAAACTTACAAAATGTAATATAATTATATTACTATAACTAGCTGTTATAAATACAATCTAGTAATACTATACCTAGATTGAGTATATGGTAGTTAACATAAAGTAATATTCAGGTTGCGCTATAGGTAAAAAAATTAGAGAACTAGTAGGCTGTAAACTAATGTGACTTGTTGCTTATCCAAGAGTGAAGGACCATTGCCACTCGCGCACTACTTCTTCCCAGTCACGTCTCCGTCCACCTTCAAGCTTTGGCCGCCAAACCTCCTTGAGAACCTTCTGGACACACTCTACATTCTCATAGCGATTGCGTTTCTGAATACCGTCCAGTCTTGTGAAGCATTGCTCAATAGCTGCTTCGTCGTCTAGCTCTGCGCCAGCTAGGAATATTGGGTAGAGTAAGCTTGATTCAGCAGCACTTCCTGGAGGAATGCGAGCAATGAAATCCATGGTTCGAGATGCGCAGCCAGGAATCAAATGGGAATGGCTTGTTGAAGTACGATAAAGCTGAATGAGGGCAGCAAGACGGTATGCTTCTGCGAGTGAAACGAGGTCGAGTGCTATGGTGGTGTCGACGCCTAGTGCGAAAGGATTGTCGTAACTCCAATGTTGTATGCCCTGCTCTATTACATGAAAGGAAGCTTCTGTGGTCAGCGGGAAAGCTGGATTTGAAACATTGATGTATTGGATGCGGGAAATAAGGTCACAAAGCTGGTACGAGATGCCCATGAGGGGATCAATGGTGCCTGGCATAAGGGCAGCACTGATTGAGAGCAAGCCTTGGTCAGGTGAGCCAGCCTTTCCGGGATTAGAAACGCGGGCCATGAGTGAGGCAGAGGCAAAGTGGTATGTAAAGTGCCGATGTAGGGAATCGACCTCGACGCAATCCATGATGCTCTGCTCCGGAGAAAGTGAGTTCAGAATGCGCTGAACACTCTTCAACTGAGAAATCCATCTGGTCGTCTTGACGCCATTGAGAGCTTCCAAGCCAACCAAGATCAAGATGACGGCTGTGACTTGATAGGTATCATTTGGTAGTCCACCAGAGGGAGATAAGCGCTCTCGAATAAAGTCGTAACACTTCTTCTCATGGCGGGTTGAGACTGCTCGCAGATGGCTCGCACGATGGACGTCTTGACTTCTCCGTGCCAGCTGAGCGGAGGAAATGGCGAGTATGGCATCTAGCATGCCTTCAATCTGAAAGGACCAAGGCATGTAGAGACTGGTGTAGAAACTGGTGGGTATCGGGGCTACCTGGACACTGGGCACAAAAGCTTCTACGTAGTATTGCAGCAAATGCATTCGTTCAGCCCTGTGGTCACCGGGCAGGGCATCCCACGGATCGAGACCAGGGCGTAAAGAAAGCGCAGTGTGGAGATTGGGGCTTTTGGACGCAGAGGGCGAAGAAAGCGGCTCCGAGACAATCTTGCGTGGAGGCTGCCACTCGCACTTGAGATTGAGTCGTGCACAGTTGGCACACTGAGGCTGCGCGTTATCGCATCTTTTGCGCCGAGTTCGACATGTCAAGCAGCCTGTGCGTGACCGGGGAGCAAATTTGCGCTGGCGCGGCTTGGGCTCAGCCATGGTCCGAAGGTTCAGGAAAAGGTGAGGGGCTCGTCTGCGATAGTCACCGAGGAGGCATGAGGATGGGCATGGCTATGCAAATGCTGTTTGTTGTCGGCGGGTTGCAATGGTGGGCGGGTCAACTGTCGCGATGGTGGGTCCGGTATCGATAAGCACGTGTGTGACTAATCGGAGCGACCGAGTCTTGGGGAGACGAAGCGGCGGTTGCGGTTGCAGTTGTAGTTGCTTCTTGATGGGCGGTGAAGTGGGTGCATGCATCGTCACCACCACACCACAGTACAATGCGCCTGCATCGCAGTGCAGCCACCAGGTTCTAGTATACTTACTGACATGGACGAATACAGGCACCCATGGCATTACTCTCAGCATCCGCGCGAAGGATGCCGCCCAGCCAACGCCGCAGTGCGAGCAAGCCAGCCAGTTGCTGGTCTTGCCCCCACGTGTATCGAGTACCTGAGCATCCTTACCGCCTTGGGAAGCATCGCCTTGTCGTCATCTCCGATACTAACGCTCTTGGTCAACTCGAGAGCTTCATGCGCCATGGGTACATAGCCGCCGTACTCGTATAAGAATGCATACACGTTCGCAGCAACATGGCTTCTGTAGCCCCCGTCCGCCTCTCCAGTCCCATCGACGGCCATGAAGCTTCTCGCATTGGCTCTTGCAGCCAGCAGCACTGCAGCCGCTGCCCAGCAAGACTTCAACATCTTCCAACACATTGGCGGCAATGCACAATGGTACCCGGGCGAGGAGACAACCGGCATCTCATCTGAGGTGCCTGAGAGATGCAAAGTTGATTTGGCAGGTAACTAACGTTGATCTGCTGCCTACCAGGCCATCGGATAAGTCACACTAATTCTTTTCCAGCTTTCTTCTCTCGCCATGGCTCGCGCTACCCGGACAGGGGGGCCTACAACGGATGGGTAGAATTCTCAAAGTACATCCAGGCCGCCGGTAACTTCACCGTCACCAACCCAAAGCTTGCTTTCCTCAAGACCTGGAAGCCCGTCTTGTCCGACCCTGAGGCTCAAATTGCCAATTTGAGCCCAACTGGCTGGAAGGAGCTCCACGAGATGGGAACCACCTGGCGCCTTCGTTACCCCGACTTGTACGAGTATAACACTCCCTTTACTATGTGGTCCAACTACTACACATCCGGGCCCCGTGTGCGAGACAGCGCTCGTCTGTTCGCACAAGGCTTTGTCGGTCCCAATGCCACTGACCTCACCACCATTTATGCTCTTAATGCAAGCAATCCTGCTAGCTGGGGCAACTCTCTCGCCTCCAGCGACCTTTGCAAGGCCTACGACGACGAAGGCGGTAGCCCTCTCAAACCAGTATGGGACTCGATCTACCTAACACCAATTGCCGCCAGGCTCAACTCCAAGATCTACGGAGGCTTGAACTTGACAAACGGCCAAGTCGATCAAATCCCATATCTGTGCGGTTTCGAGACACAGATAACTGGCCGACGTAGCCCATTCTGCGACATTCTAACCGAGGAGGAGATTCTGCAGTACGAGTATGCTCAGGACCTGCGCTACTGGTACGGCACTGGTCTTGGCTCAGATATTGAGAAATACCAGATGCTGCCAGTCATCGACATGACCGTACAGCGCTTTGTCGATGGTCCCAACGCAACCTACAAGACTGGCAACGGGACCTTCACTCCGCCCAAAATCATGGCCAACTTTGCCAACGATGGACAGATCAACCAGCTTGCCGCCATGATTGGTGTCTTTGACAGCCAGCCTCCACTTCCCGCTAACGCGTCTCTCTCCAATCGCCTGTTTCGATCCTCCCAAGTAGTCAAGATGCGTGGAACAGTTGCTTTTGAACGCTTGTCCTGCCCAGCCGCTGCTCCCCGCAGCACCTACCGTTACCACCAGAGGCGTAACGGCACAAATCCGAACGATGTGTACATGCGCATCCGCATCAACGATGTCGTTTACCCCGTCACAGGATGTACTAGTGGGCCCGGCTCTTCGTGCCCCTTGTCGGAATACCAGCAAATCATCCAGAGAAAGCGAGCTGAGGCTGGCGATTTTACCAAGATTTGTAACATGACTGATACCAATCTTGCTTCTCAGCCAAAGGCGACTTTCTTTTTCGACAACACACTACCTTGGCAGGTAGTTGTCAAGGCCTGACCCTGTCACCTGCATGTGCATGCTGTATGGAGAAAGCTACTGATTGAAGTGGCAACGAAATACCTTTTATAGTAATACTACCACGTTTAATGATGACGATTTGGATCCTTGTGGCACACCCTCACTTCCGTATTGGCCGTAATCGCGCCCTATTGTTCTCTGATACCACCTGTCAAGGTGAGTCATGTGGTAGTCATGTTCTCTATTGATGCTTGGTCTTTGACATGCAAAGGGCGCGTAACTGCTAGCCCACGCCTCGCTTAGCAAATCTCGATAAGGCGCGCGCCCTACGCCCAACTTGTCAATTCTCTTGTTTCACGCGTTGCTCAGTTCTTGCTGGGATGTATCCAATAAGGCACTGTACACCACCCCTGCATCGACACAGTGGAGCGACCCGGCTTTCGGGTAGTTGGTCGCAGAAACTGGGTAACCTCACATCACTCACCGTTTGTAAAGTTAGCCGCATCCCAAACTGGAAATGAGTGGCTTGAACATCATACACGCTACTGGCTACACTGTGGGGACGCGGAGGTATGCCAGTTTCCGCTCGAGCCATGTTTGATCTTTAGACATGACAACTGAGAGGTTTGTAACTTTTGGCATAGCAGAAAGGCGTGATTGTGTAGAATGATGCAGTCACAAGGTTGGAGCTTGCAAAGCTTGGACAAGTACCAGCGAACGGTAAAGTAAATGGCCGTATATAAAAAACTATGATGACTACCCAAAATCACCAAGACCCATCACTGGGACCCAACGCAATACAGACGCAATCGCGCCCACACACTGACTGCACTGCGGTACGGCTACACGAAGGAACAACACAATATCCCTGAACTGTACGAATCATAACCTTTATTTCCTTTTCGTGCCCTTTTCCGGTAACCATCACAATCGATACGTCGAATCGTAATAAGAGGGAACAGGGCCACCCAATTCGCCTGCAAAACCTTGAGTTCAAAACGCCTACTCTGCCAAAAAGTACCATATCAGACCACAACAACCCCACAACACGTTCGCCCGCCATGTACACGTCCACAACAACACCTCGTACATCTACCGACAAGCTGAACCCATGGAAACTACTTTCTTCTGCTACATCCATCTGCTCCTCTACATACGGATCCACGCTGAAGGAGCCAAGCAAGACACGAAGTTTATGGAACTCTATCAAGCGACATACACGAGAACACCATGAGAGTATGAACGCGGCATATGCGACATATTATGGTCAAGGAAGTTGCCTGGATGATCATCGTGATGGAAGAAATCAAGAACTCTGGCGATATCGACGTGGTGGGCATGCATGAGCCTTATCTTTCTGATAATTGGAAAGGATAAGGACAATCATTCAAGGGCCTAGACCAGAAGGCTTGGAGATACTAACTGATAAGCAACTTGGCTTCTATATGGTTTGATTAATCTTTTTTATATTGGCAAAATTTCTGTATTTTAGCAACACTCGATCGTTTAATGGAAATACTACACTTCTTCCTTCCTCTACATGTCCACCTTACACATCTTCCCAATGTTCATCCCTCTGTCTCTCTGGAGATTATCAATGGTCTCTTGGAAAAGCCCTTTTAAGACATGATACATTGTCCGAGGGATGGGTCGCATTCGTTCTCACAATCAGTAGTGACAACAAAAGCACATTAGTCTTTGTCCGTAGATTACAGGACCTTGCAGAGTCATTTTCAAGAGGGATCTACAAGTCGTTTTCGCACTCCATGTTGCGTTTATTGAGTGCATTTCATGGAGGTTTCTACGTTCCAAATCATTACTCCTGTTGCTGTCTTGTTGTTCTCGAGATTTACTTCTTTAAACACCCTCGTCTTAAGTTTTAAGTGGCGAAAAACAGCGTGGACGAGGGTGAGCATAGGCGTCTAAACAACGATTATGGATTGCTTAAAGTTCAACCAGCTGAGGCATAGCGAAGCTGCCTGTAAAACTCACTTGACAATTTGCTGTCCTCCAGGGATTCGTGCTGCGCAATAAAATGCTAGTAAGTTGAAGCTGCAAACTTCTAGGCATCTACTACCAGAATGATACGAGTAGCGAACGACACCAACAAAGCCAATGCGTGGCCACTCTATGGTGTGTTCAGTGCAGTACTGGGCCCTGTGGATAACATCTGGATGCGCAAAGTTTGTCCACGAATCGAGAGATTTCATAGGATCAAATTGGTGGCGGCGCCTCCCTGCCGGCGAGACCTCTTGGTGTTTTTGCCGCCCCCTACTAATGAGCTGCGTTCACCCGCGCTAGCAACATGCTAATACAATACGTCGATACAAAATACCTAGAATTTTATCTAAGCTTAGTTCTGTCATATGGATTTATCCCTGCGTCAAAATAAAACATGGACTCAACTCGAGTATGGGGGCTAAATCTACGTAAGCTACACGAGACTTGCATTCATGACATTAACCGGGGGCCAAATGGGCTAATATCGAAGCCACAACTCCTAAATGGGTTTCGCGTCGGATCAGTCGAATCAAAAGGCTTCTCGCATGTGCTAATGGCCATCCATCCGACGAATATGATTACCCAATCACGACCTGCCGCCAAATTATGTATGCCTCCCAGCCTCAGCCTCAAATCGTCATGGCATCAAGCAACTACCACCAAGCAGGTGCTGTTGTAAAAGGGTATTCCTGCTCTGGAGGGTTCAAGCAGTCACTGACACTGCAAACGGGGAACCCGACTGTGAGGCCGACCTGAATCATGGCTTCACGAAAGGCACATATGTTCCAAAATTTGCTCTACCCCATGTCGAGGGAGATGTCGCGTCAAACACCAGGGAAAAGCCGACCATTAATGCCGCGCAATGGGAGGAGCTCGAAAGAAGATTCCGTCATGTTCGTTGGTATTTGTCTCGCTATCGTGGCCGTTCTGGCAACACCGATGGTTTGGGTCTGGATGAGGGATCGCATTAGGAGACGCAAACTGGATCCCTTCAGAAAGCTCCGCGATCTCGAGCATAATGGGAAAGATGCAATTCTGAATCCACCTCCTTATGAACGTCCACCAGTTGTCGATTCCATATGGGCAAGGCAAGAAAGGTACAAGACATCGAAGCCTGCAAGAGCTGTTACGGCCGATCGAGTCTTAGGCATTGACAAGGCTTCATACCTTCAGCGTATCGTGCCACAGAGCGGTTCGTTAAATTATCAAAAGCCTATTAGCCTTCACTGATTAGTGTATATAGAGGGCTCATCTCAACTGCTCACTGTAGCTCCTGCGCATCTTGGCTGGGCGAGACAAAGGGTCAGTGGAACTAATGACGAAGAGCAGTGCATTAGTCCCTGGGATGCAGAGCACGCTCCAAATCCAGTCATATTTCCCTGGCTCCAAAAAAGAGGTGCCATGTCCAGAAGCATCGACTCAGAAAGTAGTAAAGAAAGTCTGCAAACTGTGGCACTAACGAGCATATCAACACCTCGAACCTCGTCCCCTTCTGAAGCTACAACACGTGTTTCTGCCGATGATTCATTCTTGGACTCGCCAATCGAATACACCGGCTCTTGTCGAAACAGCGAAAAGTCGTGTGAATTATCGGATACTGTTCGGGATGAGCGTGGCGAGTCGGCGCAGCCATATGATGCAGATGCGCCTGCTTCTGCACAATCCGGAAAGACATCTGGGTCTTACGGTTGCGACGCGTGCCAAACGACGTATTTGACGAAAGGGCAGCTCAAGTAAGTCAAGAAATGGAATGCGAATGATTGTTTCCTTTTGCTAAGTAATGTGTCTTCAGTATGCATCTCAACCGAAAGCATCGTCGACGGTATCACTGTCAGCACTGCCCTTCAGCATTTGCGCTAAAAGCCGACTTGAGGAGGCATGAGCGAAGTGTCCACAAGGACATGTACCAAGCACAAGCGTTTTCCTGTCCTAATCCAGCGTGTACCATTCCACAAAAACGGTTTGCGCGGAGAGACAATCTCGAAAGACACATACGGCGTTGTCGCAATCGAGAGTCAGGATAAGAAGTCGCCAAGCGTTTGTTGTTTTCCATTTCTCCGAAGACATCACACGACCAAGTTCTACTACCTACCCAATCCGGATGTATTCGCGCCGGAAGCCGAGGACATTTCTCCGCTAGAAATCATGCACAACCCCTGCAGACACATACGCTGGGGAGGGGGAGGCCATTTATAAACGGAAGCTATAGCACTACAACTTAATTTCTGACAAATGCGAGCGGACCCGCTGCTGCCGACACATGACGGCATTCCTTTAGGCATTCACTTTGTTTGTCTGTGGACTGGTAAACTGAATGAGTTTTGGCGAAAACCTATAAAGCTCCGAAACTACAGAGAGTACTACTGCGGGAATGCGATTCCCCGGGATCCAATTGGAGAATGTCCGTGTGTTAGCCGAACACCAACACTACGGGTCAGGATCAGTCTCGGTAAGACCAAGGACGAAACAATTTGCTGGCCACATGACAACTTGATCCTGGGTATTTGCTACGTCAAGTTCCAGGACAGTGTGATTGTGTCAAGGTCAGGTTCGAAAGAGGATATAGTCGGTGCTGATTATCACGGAATTTCAACAATCTGAGGCTTGCCCAAACTGCATTGAAGGCTTTGGCGTTTGTGGCTGTTGGGGTTGTATTAACATTGGTGCGCGCCTACCACCTGGGTACTTGTACAAAAAATTCTTAGCTAACTAATATACACCATATAACCAAAGCCTTTTCGCCATGTCGAGTTGTTCCGACCACAGGAAAACCTAACTTGCATTCAGCACATTTATTTGGTCAAATGCCTTCACCCTTCTAATTTTAAAAAAACAACAACAACAAGCGGCTTTGAAGGTAGGTAAGGCCAAGGCTTCACACTCCATGTACATTCTGCAGTCTGCACATAATTGACAGGCTTCTTGCGGCACCGTGCAAAAGCAGCATATTCCGTAGCTTGTCGCTTGCGTCTACTAGCCTCGGCCCCACCACACAATATGCACGTGCATGTATACGGGGTGTTCGCGTGCAGACTCGTGCCATACACATCGACAAGGCGGCATTGTTTAGTCGACCAGCGATCGATGTTGAAGTCCGTCGGGGAAGTAAATCGTGGTAAGCCGCCGGAGTGGACGATGGTTTTGTAGTACGAGTTTCCAGTAATGAGGCGTCTTGCTTGCAGACATGATGTTGGGTTGTACATCATATGGCCGACCAATTGTCCGAAAGAACCCAACACGGGCTGCTTGATCCATGGTATTTTAGGGAGACGCAATGCCCCCACCCCCAATCTGTCGCCTAGAATGGTTGCGGGTCTACGAGGCGTAGGACAGGCCCGACCGGGTAATATGGGACAGTCTGGTATTGTGGGTGATGGCTTGGCGGACTGCACCCAAGTCGGGGCGTATGAAGCCTACTCGGATGATTTTGGCAAAGAGAGCTGGGTGGAGCTTCTTGACACGCATGGTCTTGTGTTGGCTTCGATCTGGACCTGGACTGGGGCTGGGTCTTTCTTCACTATCGACTGCCACTTTGATGTCGTCATCTTGAGCAGGTCCTTGAAGAGGGTATGGTCGGACGACGACGGGTTTCCGTCCAGATGATACATTGTGTGTGTGTGTTTGGGGAGTTTGTGGAGAAGGAGCAAAAAAAATAAAAACAATAGAGGATATTGATGGAGCGGCGTTAGCGGCAGAGGATGGAATTTATGGGCCGCGTACACCCTAGGCCTTACAACATACTTTGGCCGGTGGGCACATTCTAGCCCGGTCTTCCCCCGCCCTTTGCCGCCCATGACCTGCAACCCCCCACGGTCCGACACGACACGGTCCCATGTTTTCTATCCCCTTCCTTACCATATTCATCTCATAGATGCGCGCGCACACACATCGCTATATATGTGTACACATCTGTTGCGACTGTATACACATCGAATCCCGCGGAGAAAATGCGCGTTTAGCAAAAAACAGGGCGTGCACTAAGACCTGATCTTTAGTTACTGTGGCTGTCCTGTTGATGGCTGTGCTACCATCTCACCGCCATTGAAGCCCAATTATGCTTTCCGCCTTCTTTTTCCCTGCATGGAAGTATTATGCATAACAAACAACCTGGACCAGTCACGTTGTGAAATTGGCCTGAGACTTAGGTCAGCAGTGCCCGGTGATGAGTACTCATGATAGAAGTGTGAGCTGTCTTTGTACAGCAGTCGAATGACGTGACCAGCTGAATCGACACTTGGCCGACTATAATTTTGGCTTGACCAGCCATGTCCTTTGGATCTAAAACACTCGCGCCATTAGAAAGCCACAGCCTTCACTTGACTAATTTGGTCTTGGTCGTCGCCATTCGAAACATCTTTTTGGTCACTACCATGCCTCTTTCGATCACTTCACATCCCCTTCCTCGAAGTCTAGACTGTTCCGTTGCTTCTTTCAGGTACACTGAAGGATATAATGTAATGAATGTGTGGATATCCCACGCTGCTATATCTCCATACTTGGCTGCAGTAAAGGGTACAGCGACTGGCGAGGACCACGTATGTAACACATTCATCATAACCGAAGCTCAAGTTTGGGTACATGGCTTGTTGGGAGGTTTTGTATAGTGGAACCGGGAAATGCAATCTGACTCATTGGCCAGAGTGCCTGCATCAAGCCAAATCTGAGACGTGGAGAGTGGCGTGCAGGTACCCGTATATCTGTATGGAGGGAAACTTCTAGGAAACACCTAGTACATATAACGCAAACCTAGGCATTGTTCGACTAGCAAACCCTTTATATCTGTACTTCATCACCCACGGGAAAGCAGAGTGCTTTGGTTCACTGCGACATCAAACAATGAACAAGTGAGTTGCTGTCTCCGTGCCGTATCGCTCTGGATCTGACTTTCGGGACAAAGGCAACTTGGGAGCTCAACCACGCGGGCATCTAGTATTGACCTGTCAGACGGCAAAGATGGCACCTGTAAGCTGAGACGCATACCGGACAGAGTCCCTACCATGGTCTGGATAGTGGCTGTAGTAGGATTCTGGGAGCGAGCAGCCTTTTGGGGCAGTAGGTGCGGCTTCACATCAACGTCTACAAACAACTAACTCTTTTCTGACTATAGTCGCTGCGCCTTGGCGTACGTCTCTCTATCTCCCATTGTCAGTTAACCAGGCCCACCACTGACACTGCCGTGCTACAGAAAACTACATGGAGAATCCACAACATTACACCATAGAAGGCACCCCGGGAGCCCTGAATCTCGGCCAGGCAACAGCAACACGCATCTTCTGCGGTTTCTTTGTAGTCTACTTCACCTGCCCAATCCTCTTTGCACCACTGGTAGACAGTCGTGTGGGACAGTACAAGACATTAGTCATCAGCCTTGGAGTGTACGTGCTAGGATGCATTGCCTTGGCCATCAGTTCGTACCCGAGCATGCTTGACCGAGGAGCCGGCCTTCCGGGTTTACTCATGTCAATGGCCTTGATCGCCTTAGGAGGCGGATGTGTACGTCTCACTCGTTATTACAAAGCATATGCGGTGCTTACTAAATCTTGCCAGTCGCAAGCTACCATCAGGTCCTTTATTGCTGCGCAGTACAAAGATAGGACCCCACGACTCCGAACATGCCCGCCATCTCGAAATCGATGCTTGGATTTCCTTCGAAAGCGGTTGCAGAATACAAACTTCTCCAAATGGCTGCCAGCCGCTTCGACTGAAGAAGTCGTCGTAGTCGATCCTGAACTTACCCTCAAGTTCATATATACCTTGCTGTTTTGGGTTGGGAATGTAGGCGCACTGTTGGTGTTCCCAATTGTTTGCATCGAGAGATTTTTTGGCTTCTTCCCCGCCTTTGTCTTGGGCGGCGGCTGTGCACTCATGGCCTTTTCGATCATCATTGCTGGCAAGAAATACTTTGGTATGACTCGTCACTGACCTTGGTGCAAGAGCATTGCTAAATTCGATAGTAAAACCTCCCCTTGCAGACAATGTGATGATACCAGCAACGAAGGTACTTGGCTGTGCTGTGCGCAACAAATTTGAGATGAAGCGTACAGACCCTGCTTACCAGCTTGCCAATCGAGGCAAAATAGTGCCCTGGAGTAGCGAATTATCCAATGAAATCACACGCGCATTGGGTGCTTGCAGGGTTCTGTTGGTATCTCTCTCCATCTTTACACTACTGATCAGCTAACAACTTTCTTAGTCTAGCATTCATCATTTTCTACATTTGCTTCGACCAAATGCAGAACAACCTGATATCTCAAGCAGGTGACATGAACAAAGGGCAGACACCCAACGAAGTCGTACCAAGTATGAACCAGGTCGCCTGCATCGTCATCAGTCCGTTAGTAGAATACGTTCTTGATCCAGCACTTTCCAAGCAACGCATTTACCTGAAGCCCGTTACTCGCATCGCCATTGGCTTTACTTTCATCTCGCTTTCCATGGCTTACGCAGCCGTGGTACAGCACTTCATCTATATTTCCCCGCCTTGTTTCAATCATCCGTCTTCATGCGAGGACCGTCATCTGGTTGCCCAGCAACGACCGAACATTTGGATACAAACGCCTGTATTTGTGCTCATGGCTGCGGGCGAGGTCTATGCCATGACTACGGCCATGGAGTACGCAGAGACGCATTCGCCCAAGGAGACGAAAGTGCTCGTACAATCTATCAACATGCTCATTACCGGCGTCGGGTCCATGTTTGCCATGGCAATTGCTGAAGCGGCTCGCGACCCATATTTGATGATCTTCTACTCCAGTCTGGCCGGTGCCATGGCTCTCACCACAATTGTGTTCTACGCCTTGTTTCGGAACAAAGACGAGTCCAGTCTTCCATTCAATTCAGAGGGCATCATAAAGATGGAGAATGAAGAGGGTAATGACATTTCTTGTGCAGCACGTGCACCACGGGATTCTGTGCACCCAGATACGAGTATTGGTACCCAGGCGATGGTCACCAAAGCAGAGTAGAGAGACTTCCCAAGTATTTCCCGCGTTCAGACTGGCCTTTAGCTGATGGTTCTTAAGTCTCCGGGGAAATATTCACCATGTTCTGCTGCCAAGCATTGCCAGTCAACCCTTCGGCAGTTGTATGGAGGTAATCCTAGAACAAACAGCGGTGTTGCGCCAACAAGGAAAACGGTTGATTAGGCCTCGAACTCTCACCATGTTTACCTGCAATGACACCATAGATTTCATATCCTACATCGCTCAAAGCGAAGACGAACAGCCAGCGGCTAATATAGACGTTGAAGACAATGTTTAATCAAAGATTTTACATCACGTGTATAAACATGTGTGACATAGATGCATATGATTTATTGGTGGTCGTGCGTTGTATCTGTCGCGGTGAGTAGTCCGCCAAGCTCATCTACTTCATCGAGACAAAAATATACTCAAATGTACAAATGTATACAAAACTCATGCAGCCACTGACTCCAGGGGACAAAAAAGGAACTGCCTTCGGCCAGAATTGAACTGACGGCCTCGTCATTACTAGTGACGCGCTCTACCACTGAGCTACGAAGGCATGATTGGTTGTTTTCGATGAAAAATTGATTGAATTGAACATCCATATTTCCATCTAGAGTCTAATCAGACAAAGCCATTCAGATTAACATTCTTAGGATTAGTCTATCGTTAAGCACCGCAGTGGAAGATTTGCAGACCGCGACGAAAAAAAGAGCTAGAAGGTGGGGCTGCATGCATCAACCCCTAACTCAACATAGATAAGTCCCATGACGTACCGTGAGGACGTCACAGTACTGACTGACCACAGACAGCTGAACCTTTCTCGTGCTGAGATGCCATCTAAAATTCTAATTCGATTCGCTGTTACCAAACCATACTAGTGAAGGGCAAATGATGCCTATTCAACGAAGAGATCATGTAATACTTTGCCCCACTCCTATGCGGTGCTAGAGAGAATGGCTACCAACTACAACGCCAGTGTAAATGCAACATACAGCCTGTGGATATCGCTTGTGTAACTTTGCAACGAAAGATGGAAATGAAGCAGTCCCACCAGTGGGTAAGGTGAGTGTATGAGTAACATGGAAAGAAGGTTTTCGAGGAGTTTTTGGTCGTTAGCAAGAGCTTAGGCGTGATGCTGTTTCTTCTCTCGCTCCTCCAGCTCTTTGACATATTTGACAAACGTTTTCTTGTGAACCTGAGTGTTTTGTTAGTGTCATCCTACTAGGCAATGGTTGAAATCAATGACTTACCAGACCAGCGTATTTACCGTCCCTAAGAACACAGATATAACGCAGCCCAAGCTTGACAAAGCACTCGTAAACGAGATCCATGGGTGAATGAACATCCAATGCTACTGGAGCAGGGTCAATGTATGGGGTGAAGTCACTTGGATCGTATGCTTCTTGCTCTTCCTCGTCGTGATGTTCTCGTCCTGCCGCCCAGTCTACACGTGGGGACATTAGGCAGAGCGTGTTTTCTTCATTTTCGAGCTTGTCAAGAGCAAACTCCAGATCTGGTGCAGGGATAAGGCCAACAAGGATACCGTTTTTGACAATCGACAGGCCACCATCTAGTTCACCAGCCATCTGTAGGGCGCGCTGCTTTGCACGCAGTTCTACTGCAGGAATTAGAGAATCCTCTGAGATGTCGATCACATGATCATTTTTCGATCCAGGAGTGATGTCACCCAATTCGGAGGTGAAGATTGGTCGGACTTTGTTGTCAAGAAATGGGTATGAGTTCATGTCCGTCAGAAGGTCGTAGATGCTGAGCGGCTCGATAGCATCCGCTACCCACTTGGAGACGAGAATGCCCAGAGAAAAGGGCAGTACATGATCCAAGCTGCCGGTGAGTTCAAAAAGAATGACGGCCAAAGTGATGCTGAGACGGGTGACGCCAGTCATAGTTGCTCCAGCTGCTACTAAGGCGTAGACACCCGGAACGACACATGAACCTGGAGGGCCGTCTGGCGAGCACTCGCTGAAAATGCCGAGATGACTAAACCGGAGAGCAACAAGCTGGACGGTGTGACCAATGAAGCGTCCGGCAAGACCACCGACAACCATGGAAGGTACGTAGATACCAGCTGGCACTTTTATTCCAAATGTGACTACGGTCAGACTGGCCTTGATAAGGAACGCAATGAACAAGAGTTTGAGCACTCCAGGGATATGCTCAACAGTCGGGCACAGGCCGTCGCCCGTGTCAGTGTAAGTATCGCAGGGACTGGCTAGCTCAAACAGGAGTTCAGTGACAGGAAGCTTGGTGTATCGGTTCCAGAAGCTAATCAGACCGGTAACGAGCGCAACAAGGAAGACCTCGAGAAGAGGGTGTTTTTTGATGATGGGTATGCGACGGAATGTGCGTGCCCAGATGCGAGATGCTTTGATAAAGAGGGCACCCAAAACGCCACCAACGGCACCGGTAAATATAAATGATGCGAGTTCGAAAAACTTCCAGTCCAAGTGGTATCGCACCTCAAAAAGCACAATCTTCTTGGTTCCATATGGATCAAGAAACTTGAGGGATAGAGCAGCCGCAATGCAGCAAAAGAAGGTGCGGAAAAGCGTCTTTGATGGGAAGTAATAGCTGACTTCCTCAAGACTGAAAAGCACGCCACCAATGGGGGCACCAAACGCAACAGCGACACCACTAGCAGCACTTGCGCTCAGAATTTCCCTGCGCTTGCCATCGTTGTTACTGTACTTGGAGAAAATACGGCAGACAATGTTGCCAATACATGTGGCAATATGGACATAGGGGCCTTCTTTGCCGAGACTGAGGCCTGATGCGACACTAAGAATAAGGGCGAGGGTCTTGATGACGAGGGTGCGTACACCAAGGTAACCGTGGAGGACAAAGCCACTCAGAATGACTTTGACTTCGGCCACACCACTACCGGCAGCAGAATAGTAGACCATAGGGGGTCGGGCCTGTACCTCCTGAAACCTAGATTCAGGGCTGGTGCTGCGCTTGTTGTCATCATCATCGTCATCGGAAAATCTTCGAACTTCTGCGCCGAGGTTCTCGTCTAGCGTAGAGAGCGAGATGGCGGATGGGATGACGGTCTTTGTGGTGAGGGTGAGCAGACACGAGGCCATGGAGAGCAGCACAACGGAAAAGACGAAGAAACCATACTGGGTCTGCACAACATCCAGCCTATCTGTGCGGACGGCCTCAGACCAATGGACCCATTTGTCGCATATCGAAGCGCCATCACAGCATTTCTTGTGACTCTTTGTCCAGCCAACCGAACAATATCCCTGCTTGAGGTCGAAGAGCGTTGTCTCAGTCGTGTTGACGAAATAGGCACAGACAGCTGTGAGGACACCAATGATGGCGACCAGGACCCAGCCCTGGGCACCGTCGAACCAAGCCGCGAGTCGGCCCCTGATGTCCTTCCTGCTCCGCAGTGCTTTTACACGGTATGCGTCGGCGATGTTGTCGTGGACCCAGTCGGTGGAGGTGAACTGGTCGTACCACACGCGGTCGTCCTGGAAGATGGCTGCCTTTGCCGAGTGCATGCTCTGCTCGAGTCCGTGGCCTCGCTCGCCCAGCGCATTCACGAGACGCTGACTGAACGTGTGGCCGCCGGTGAGGGAGCCTCGTCTGCTGGAGCGTATGCGCGAGGTGGTGGGCAATTGGCTATTGTTACGCGTCATGCCTGGACGCGGGGTGCCAGGCGTGGTGCCTGGGAGGCTCTTGTAGGACCTGGCCGAGCGCAGATGGGGCAGGCCCAACAACGAGGTCCGCTCGTTGACGCTCTCTCTGGACCTGGCGAGGTCCGTGTCTGAAGCTCGCATATGCCTCATGGCGCTGAAGGTGAGGGTTGGCGACGTGGGAGTTGTGCTATTGTATGTGTCATGGCTCTCGCCGCGGTCGGCAGAGCCCTGAGCGTGGCCGGTGTCATAGTCGTCGACGCTGTGATATGAGTGCGTCGACTTGGGCATGGCGACGACGCAGGAGGGGGGGGGGTGGAGGTGGAGGTGGAGGAGATGTGGAGAGGAAGGTGGAGAGAGAAGGGGAAGTTACAGGACGGGCGAGGGCAGCGTATTATTAGTGGTGAGGTCAGTTTGAGACATGTCGCCGAGCGGCCGCACTATCATGGTCATCTGGGGGAGTGATGGCGGTGTCACGATGGATATGCTATGGCTGGGCAGCATGGCCCCCGTCCCCACCCGACTGCGGATCTTCACCATGAGATGGTCGCGAGAGGGGGCTTCATGGTCGAGTATCTGCCTGGCGCCACGGCATAATGACGAGTTTCCAAAACTGAATGCGGCATGCCGGGGGTATGGGCGGCGGCGCGACTCAGCGAGGACAGGCAAAAGCAGACAGGGTGGGGGGTGTGGCAGGGCTCTGCCAATGTGTAGGAGAGTGTGTACATAGTAGGACGTACCATTTGCATTGCCCGTATGCAACTGGCGGTAGGCGCGTGCCATGTGATTATCTGAGTTGCGCGCGAGGGGCGGCAACTTGCAGGGATTGGGCAGCTGGGGCGTCCGCTAATCCATTCCATGGCCACCCAGGCGAGCATTGCTTTTTTGCCCGTCTACGTATGAGTTGATCGCACGCCATTGTTCGCGCCCAGCCAAGCGCCTCTTTCACTGGTGGCCTCGCATTGTCGCGTCTGCATCTGTGCAACGCAGGAACAGTTGTTGCTGATACTATCAGACATCTGCGTACATACTTACTTACATACCTACATACAGACATACCACATACTTACCTTTTCTGCCTTTCTGTGCTCATCATGGTGAGTGACCCCTCCCATCTACCATGCTGTCTCGTCTTGGCTGTGTATTGACACGCACAGTCTGCCCTCTATGAACAATTCTTTTTGCTCGGTGATAGCATCACCCAGGACTCTTTTTCCCAGGAACGGGGTTTTGCATTTGCTGCAGCTCTCCAAGCCGGTCAGTCCACATGGCTCGATTGCTAGCTATATTTCCTTTGACTTGTTTACTACCCCCACCCTCCAGCCGACAGCTTTTTATTGCGTTGCGGGACGGACATGCAATGCAATGCTCGGTGACAAAAAAGCGAGTGTGTGGATGTGGTGCGCGTGCATGCTGGCTGACCAACCCCCCCTCGCTCAGCATACATAAGGCGACTCGACGTGGTCAACCGAGGCTTCAGGTAGCGTGCTCACTGCCAGCTGTTTCGACTGCGATGGGCGCTGATGTCATAGAGCGGCTACAACACTCGTCAAGCTCTCCAGATCTTACCGGCTATCGTGCCACCCCCAAGTCACGCCAAGATTCGGTTCATGGTATTATTTCCACTATGCCCACATCGTGTGATATCATTGTTGACAGCGCAGACCGTCTTCTTTGGCGCAAACGATGCCTCGCTGCCAGACGCTCCCAACAAGCAGCACATTCCGCTCGATGAGTTCAAGGCCAACCTGCGCGCCATAGTCTCCCACCCTTGCATACTCGCCCACGCGCCTCGCATCATCCTCGTGGCGCCTCCCCCGATGAACGAGCACTTGTGGTGGCCCAGAGACCAGTCCAGTGGGTATGCCACCGTCTCGCGATTGGCCGAGACCACCAAGATCTATGCCGATACAGTCGTCCAACTAGGCGCTGAACTGCATCTCCCAGTACTCAACTTGTGGAAAGCATTCATGTCGCGGACTGACTTCAACGTCAATGCGTGGAAACTCGGGGACCACGTTCCTGGTTCCTTGGCACTGCCCCCGAGTGACGCATTGGCCGACCTCATGTACGATGGTACGTCTACTCGGCGCATTTTGGACATCGCAAGGGTACTGATAGCATCGCCAGGCCTACACATGAACCCAGCAGGCTACCAGATCCTCTACGACGAGTTGATCAACGTCATTTCACACAATTGGCCTGACCAGTTACCAGGCAAACTCCCCATGGTTCTGCCGCCATGGAACGATGAGGTTGCTTGGGAAGCATGGAAGAATGATCATGTAGCTGTACAAAAAAAATAGGGACCTTGGAGACATTCACCACTTTGTACTATACATACATGTAAGTAATGTAAGTACATCGTACACAACAGTGCCCATGCCTAAGTATGCAGCCGCCCGCAGCGGGCAATGAGCGGGGGTGCTTTGGGGAATACGGGATGCACGTCTGGACCAATCGGACCTGGGCCGTAACTCCGAGAGGCAGGTGCTTAGCGGCGTAGCCTCGAATGAACCTCATCGTACTAGCATCGTGCTGAACGTACGCAAATACTTGCCATCGCAAACACTCGAGCTTGGTACTTTGGTACTCCACTTGCGCTTGCAAATGCGGTAGCTTGCTTTGCTTTTTTTTCTCGTCATCTTCTTAACATCCTGCTGGTTGCTGGCATATGCAGGTTGGGTGCTGGTATATTCCGCTACAAACACTTCTTGACTAGTCCCCTTGGCCGTCGCCGCTTGCTCTTTACATTCACCGACTTCGCCCCAGGCCAGTTCGTACATCGTCGTGATTTCTTACGCCCACGTAGCCCCATAACTCCACGCCCCAATTACTCCATTGTTGCTGCATCTTCGCCGTTGCTTCGTCACCGCTGCCCGATCGAGCCTCTCGCCTACACCAGATATAGGACAACCGCACGCGTACCATCACACATACACACACGCACACAAGCCAGATACACACGGGCTGAGGAGAAGCAATCAATCGGCGCTCGTCGGTAGGCCAGCGCCTACGGGAAGGTCGGGCTCTCTTTACTGTGCACGCTGCTAGGGCATCAGACGGCCGGTGGCATGGATCCCCAGAGCGTAGCTTTCCAGCCGCGCGACGATCTCTGGCGCTTCCAGAGCGAGATGCTTCGAGTACAAGAGAGCCAGGCCGAACTTGCTGATCGTGTCGCCCGTTTGGAGCGTAAGCACGACGACGACTCACGTCTGAAGAACGTTTGGGGAACTTCATCGCCTTTCCCTTCAGTTCTGGGCGGAACCCCACAGCAAGGTACCGAATTAAACTCGTTGCTGTTACTACAGGTCTAATACATGGCAGTGCCCTTGCAGCAGCCTACTGCCGAACACTTTTCCAACTTTGACGGCCATTCCACCAACCTCATCGGCAACCTCCAGCTCGATGAAGACGAAGTACCCCGCCGCGTAGGCGTCACATCGCGCGCCAACAGTGTCCGTTTCGATGAGACGGCAAACCACGGCCACTGGGCTCACACGTCGCGATCTTCGCTCGATTTGATACCCCGCACGGGCAGCGGTCTAGGTGGGCATGCTATGAGCGAACGCAGCTACTCGCACAAGTCAGACGGAAGGCAAAGCTCGGCCGGCCACTCGGTACACTCGATGGCGTCTGGTCGAGCAAACAGCCTGACGAGCTTTGGGCCGACGACGCCTCAAGACGCCCCAGGACTGGCTCCTGGCTTGTTCATTCTAGGCTCTGTGCCCGCGATTATACGTTGCTGGCTCAACACTAACTTCAAGCACGACACTTTGTTGTACGCGGCCGTGTGCTCGGGCTCATACACATCCTATCTGGACCTGAACCTTATCGAACACCTTGGATTCCAAGACCAGGTCGTGCTCGACGACGACGGTCTTCGCAAGATCAAGTTGTCGGTCTACCTCCCCGAAGCCGTGCCGGTGTCGGCTTCTTCCCGGTCCACTAGCTCGGCGCCACAACTTCCCTCAATTGGTGTTAATTTCACTGTTGTTCAGGAGCATAACTCCGAAGCCAATCCAAAAGCCGTTCAGATCTTTCTCGGCAGCGACATGCTCCGCGCACACAATGCCGACCTGTTGTTTTCATCTAGCCAGCTAACCCTCTATGACGACGACCACAGCAAACTTCAGATACCTTTGGTTCGTCCGGAAGATGAACGCGCCTTCAAGTCGTTACATGTTTCCAGTCGAACCTATGCCCCATCAACCGAGCAAAGTAAGAGAGATGTGATGGCTGCCTCAACACAACATCGTTCGACAAGTAACGGTTCTGCTACATCTGCCGCCCATGATACTTTTCTGTCTACTGATAAGTCTACTGACACAGGCACGGCGACAAACTCGGAGGACGGAGGCTCAAGTGGCCGCATGAGTCTTGAGCAGCGTCCGCGTCTCGGTCTGTCACTATCAAGTCGTCTGGAAGATGGAAGTGCAGGGGAATCTGGGGCTGTTAGTGAGGCGCCGCGCTCTACAGCATCATCGGCCATCTGGAGCAACTGGCGGCGGGACCAAGCCGAGAAGGCTACGGCTGCTGCTGGACCGTTGGACTGGGCGAGCGTGGGTAAAACCACGAGCTCAAACCCCAGCTACCAACGACGCGATACGGGCATCAAGGTGCTGAAGCCGTCCAAGTCGGCAAGGACCATGTCGGGGTCAAACTCGTTGCCTGCTACGGGACAGTCACGCTTCTTCGATGATGGCAAGCGAAGGGGCGAGACAGAGAGTGAGACGAGCAGTAGCCAGGCACCGCCACAGGCGAAGAGGACGGTGTCTGCGGACAAGGCAAAGGAGAATCATGGGACGGTGACGAAACCACGGTCAGCCAATCCGGTGGGAGGGGCGTCTGCTTTTGCATGGCTGAACAGTGGCGGGTCAAAGTAAAAGGTGTGTAGGCAATGGTGTGGTGGCATAGTTCCCCGTCGGATCGAGCGAATAAAAGTAAATACCAGCAAGCATCAATGTTATGTGGTGGTGTGGTGTAGTGTGGTCCGATAGATAGTGAAGCGTGAAACATGAGATGGGAATGCAAGCGAGACAGGGGTGGTTGCTTCACTCGAGTCGCCAAGCTCGCTTATTGGCAAGGCTGAGTTTGTAGTGGGAGTGTACTAGAGTGACGACGGGCCATGGGAGTTGAAGTACTCTCATTTTTCGCGGCGCATTGCACGGTAGCCCACGTCCTTCACCGCTGCGAAGCTCTCTCTCTCTCCCTCTCTCTCTCTCTCTATCTCTCGTGAAGTACAGAGGCCCAACTCGCTAGGCATCCCAGCCCAGGCGACGCGTTGCATACTACATACACATTGCTTGTCCGACGTCTCGGCTGTCCCTTCACCGTATATTAATAGTCTGTCCAGGAGCTCGTCACGGGCTTCGCGGCAGGCCAGCGACTTCAAGACGGCCTCCACTAATAATAAGAAGCGGAAGATCGTGGTCCCCGCCAGAGACTCGCCAACCGCCAGGGACGACGGGCACTCGCCGCCGAATGTGGGCAGCGCTGGCGTAGTAGGCTCCCCTCGCTCCTCCCCGCAGCCTTCAGCATCACCGCCACGCTACCTGCCGCCGCACCTGCACGACGAGGTCCTGGTCGACGCCTCCGACTCGGCCTCTGCCTTTGTACGAGACCACAGCAACGGCGCCAGCTCGCCCAGCGAAGCTTACGCCAATCTGACCCTCGACAGCCGCGAGGCCTCCATCACCGACCTCGACCGCGCCCGCGCTGCTGAACAACTGCCCTCCGCCTCGCGGCCCCCGCCCCGCGCCTCCTCGCCCGCTAAGCGCTCTCATTCAGACATGGACGACAAGCCCGACCCCAGCTCTGCTCCCCGCAACACCAAGTCGCTGACCGCAGGCCCGTCACAGCCACAGCCACAGGCACAACGCAGTGCGCGTGCCACATCGGTAGACATGGCCGACACGCCCAACAGCGGCACCTTTGATGCCGATGACCAGGTCCCGGCCTTGTCGTCGACCATCGCCGCCGATGCCTCGCCCCAGGTCCAGCTGCCCAGCATAGACGAGCAGGTGACTCGCGTCATGGGCATGATGAACAGTGAGCCTCTGGTCGACCGCCAGGAGGGCTATATCATTTCAGAGCGGTGGCTAGAGCGTGTCTGGGCAAGAACGTCGGAGAACGTGAGCAGGCCGCAAGACTTTAGCAAGGAAGCGACCCAGGGCCCCGTGGGTCCCGTCGACAACTCGCACCTGGTCGACACAGAATTGCTGCAAGAGGACCTGGCCGACCAGCGCGGCGAAGACTTTATTCCGCTGAGTAAAGCTGCGACACTTGGCCAGGACTTTGAGGTTCTCCCGCGCAAGGCGTGGGAGCTGGTTCTCAGCTGGTACGGACTCAACAAGGGCAGTCCGGTCATACGGCGTTACGCCCACAATACCGTTCCTGGCCAAGCGAACGAGGACATTTCATACGAGCTTCACCCCCCCGTTATTACTATCCGCAAAGTGCGAAAGTCAGCAAACCCCGCCGATAACTCCAAGTTAGCAGAGAAAATCGTCGCCAGCCGCTACGAGAGCTTCATCACCTTTCTTGAAGCCGCCAAAAAGGCTGTGGGTATCGACTTGAACAATAAGGTTCGCATATGGAGGATTCTCTCTACTGCACCTACAGTCAACCCCCAGCCGTCCCAACCATCCGGCATACTCACTCCAGATGCATCACCCCGCAACGGTTCGCCTGTCGCTCCCACGGGCGTTCAACGGCCTTCTCTTGTCATGGATGTCGCAAGTTTTAATGCGCTTGCGTATGGGTCTGAGCGTGAGCTAGTCACGGGCAAGGATGAGAAGGCCAACGAGATTTACAACGAGTCTCTCACTCTGGCCGATGCTGGTCTCACACAAGATCAAACAATCATTCTCGAGGAACACGACGAGAAGGGAGAGTACATTTCCGACACGACCAAAGAGGCGTCCAAAAACAAGGCTGGCGCTGCAGCAAGCAAGGGTCTCCAAAGTACCACCACCAGCGGAAGGAACACACCCACGGGTGGCCCCCTAACGCGCGGAAGGAAGCAGAATGGCAAAGTGCGTGGTCATGTTGGCTTGACCAATCTCGGCAACACTTGTTACATGAACTCAGCCCTTCAGTGTCTCCGGAGCGTTGAGGAGCTGAGCATGTACTTTCTGAGTAACAAATGGAAAGAAGAGGTCAACGCCGACAATCCCATAGGCCACAAGGGCGTCATCGCAAAGTCGTACGCTTCACTGCTGAGTGCCATCTATAGTCTCGACAACAACTCATCTATCTCACCAAAGGACTTTAAGCAGAAGCTAGGAAGAGCCAACAGCCTATTCTCCGGTTACGGTCAGCAAGATTCTCAAGAGTTCGTTAGCTGGTTGGTGGATGCATTGCACGAGGATCTCAACAGGATACACAAAAAGCCATACAGGGAAAACCCAGATTCAGAAGATGACACTTATCGTGACCTAGAGGCTGTCAAGAAGCTCGGAGAGATTTATCGAGATAATCACCGCGCTCGAAACAACTCTGTAGCGATGGATCTGTTTAGCGGGTTTTACAAGAATACCATGGTCTGTCCAGACTGTGAGAAAGTCAGCATAACATTTGACCCCTACAGCCAACTTACCCTACAATTGCCGATAGAGCAGACCTGGACTCACACTATCACATACGTGCCACTTTACGGAAAACCCTATCAGCTTGAGGTTGACATTGACAAGAACGCGACCATCAAAACACTTAAAGAGTTCGTCGGCAAGCGTGGCGGCGGCGTCCCAGCTAACCGCATAATGGCGTCTGAGCTTTACAGCCACAAGTTCTACCGTCACCTGGAGGATTCCCTTACTGTGTCTGAGTCGAACATTGGAGCCAGGGATGACATTTACTTTTACGAACTCGACATGGCACCAAGCAATTGGCCTGCTCCCAAAAAGAAGGGGTCAAAGTACAAGACGATGCTTTCCCAATCTTCCGACGAAGATATCCCAGACACTGCTTCGCCGCTGCATGACCGCATCATAGTCCCTCTATTCCATCGCAGCCCCAGTGTATCTGCTTACAGATCCACGAGCACCGGCATGGCGCTTTGGCCAAGTTTTATTGTTCTGACAAGAGACGAAGCAAGGGATTACGACGCGATTTTCAGAAAGGTGCTGGCAAGGGTTGCGCAAATGACTACACGGAAGATACTCAGTGAGCTCAGTGGATCAGATCAGTCGCAATCTGGTTCTGATGTTGTGCTAACAACAGAAGAAGATGCTTCGCCGAACGACCCTCAAGTCAAGGATGGCTCTGTGGAAGGTGAAGACATGGTCGAGGTGACAATGACAGACGCCAAAGAAACTCCTCCCGCTCAGAGCGACGATGCCAATCAGATCCCAGAAGTGTTACGTCCGGGTAGCTTTATCCACCCCGAATTTAGGTATGTCAAACTATTCAAGGGATCAGGCAGTTAGTGACTAACACACGATAGGCAACTATTTGAGATGAAGCACACTAGGAAGAGTAATGAGATTGTGACTACTGGATGGAGTACATTGGATCACAATCGCGCATGTGAGCCCATTTCGAAGCGCATCCGGGTACCACCATCACGAGAAGAGTCCATCCAGTCATCTGTTGGTGGAAGCGAGCCTACGTCAAGTGATGAGGATGAAGACGCTTCGCAGTCGACGATTGTCGATGCCGATCCTGCAGTTGACACGACGAATCCTAGCAGCGACGAGGAAATGCAATCGGTAGAGCCAGAAACGACAGAGTTTGCACGATCCGGTCGCCAAAACAAAAAGAAGAGCAAGAAGGCACGGAAGCATGAGCGGAAAATCGAGCGAAAAAATAAGAATAATAAGAACTTCAAGAACCGCAAAGGAGGCAGGGTGCCCGAACAGCCCAACTATCCGGACGACCCGGATGATGAGGCTGATGACCGTTTGATCCGCATGGGTGAGGGCATTGTCCTTGACTGGACCTCCGAGGCCATTGATGCTTTGTTTGGCGGCACATCGGATGAAGACCCTCGAGGCGCCGACGTCATCAAATCTATTGAGGTTTTTGACGATCCTGAGATTCGAGACAAGAAAGCCAAACGTGCAGCTCGTAGAAAGAACGGAATCAATCTGGACGAGTGCTTCACAGAGTCATCAAAGAGCGAAGTGCTCTCCGAGGACAATGCATGGTATTGCAGCCGGTGCAAAGAATTGCGTCGTGCAACAAAGACGTTGGAAATCTGGACCGTTCCTGACATCCTCATCATACACCTCAAGCGTTTCAGTGGCCACCGGACATTCCGAGATAAGATTGAGGATTTAGTTGACTTTCCAGTTGAAGGACTGGATCTTTCTGGCAAAGTTGGTTACCCAGAAGGCAAGGATCTTACCTACGATCTTTTCGCCGTTGACAATCACTACGGTGGGCTAGGAGGGGGCCACTACACAGCCACTGCTCAGAATTTCTTCGACAAGCAGTGGTATGACTACAATGGTGAGCAATCTGTCTTTCCCCAAGTCACGCAAGACTTGAAGGGTGTTCCAATCTTATCATGACAGAAGCTAACTTTGTCAGACTCCATTGTCTCCCGCTGTGACTCTGGTCAAAAGGCTGTTTCGAGAGCCGCATACTTGCTTTTTTACCGCCGTCGCTCGCCTGTCCCTTTAGGCCCTCCAGAGCTTCAGAAGGTGGTAACCGCCGACGTCAGCAACCCCGACTCTGACGACGAAAACAATACGGACGCGGACGATCAGCAGGCCCGCTCCCGCTCACCGGCGGGAAACGGCTTGCGCCTCGGCGATTCGTCCCGCAATGGGTCGTCGAGCGCTGGCGCAGTCGGAGCGGGAGCCGCAGCCCTGCGCGGGGATGGCTTTCAGCGTTCAGCAGCCGGGAGCCGTCAAAAGAGCGGAGCCGCAGCCGCGAACCTGAGTGACGACGACGACCTTCCCCCATATGCTGACGAGGACGAAGGATTTGTGGAAGACTCGTACAGCAATAATCCTTGGGCCACTGACAACGATCAGCCAATGTGGAGTTTCAATGCGCTGAGCGACAACGCCGCTCGCAACGATAATGACTCAGATACTGGCGGTGTAGTGTCCGACACGGGTGCAGCGTCAACGGGTGATGGCATGGAATTGAGCAATAGACTTTTGGAAGATTTTGGTGACGACGAGCCTGTCAAAGGAGGATGGGGTGGTGTTGCCACACCTGTCACGCAGCAGGATGACGAGGTTGCCGAGATTCGGCTGATTGGCGATTAATTGTTGAAAAGGATGCATTCATTGGACTTTAAAAACTAGACGAAACATGATTGATGCCAAGAGGACCATGATGTTGATATTAGGGGGTTATGGTGGAACTGACGCAAAGAGGCGTATTTTTGCATAGCATCTGTAGGCGCAGGCTAGGCGTATCGATCGAGCATGCATTATTCCCCCACACTTGTTGCTATGGTATGCTAAAAGTGTGGGACAGCAGATATGTGTCACTTCCTCAGTAGTCATACTACAAGGGGGTTCAGGTCCTTGTCATTATTTTCTTTCGGTTTCTCTCAAGTCGCTGGAATTATGATATCAATAGATGTGACTTCGATATCAAGTATCTAACCCAACACAACCTCAATCCCATAAAGAAGAAACCCCCTCGCAAAACACATCCTACAACCCACTCAACCCCAACGCCAGCGACGTCAGCAGCCCATTCAACAAAGCAATAACCCCGATAAGCACAACATCCAGCACCAACTGCACCGCCAAAATCAGTGCACTCAACGCGCCCGTCAACGGATTCAGATAAACCAGCAGTCCCGCGAGCCCCAGAATCGCAACGGCAGCCGTAACCGTAGCGAAGATTTCGACGATAATAAGGGAAAGCAGCGCAGCTATAGCTATAGCTTGACGTTTCACCGCTGCAACTCCGTAGTCCTGTTGAGTGGCATCATCGCGAGTTGCAATACTCGTGTCGTCGTCGTCGTCGTCGTCATCGGTGGAAGTAGTAGTAGTAGTTGTTGTTGTTGTTGTTGTAGGTTGAGTAGTAGCATTTTCCGGAGCGAGGCTACGTATTTCAGACGCGGTGGACTGGATGGCTAGTGTGAGTTTTGTAATTTGACTGCCGATTTGCGGGATAGCGGCTGTTTTTTCCAGTAACGAGGAGGAAGGGGTTAGGGGGGCGAGGGTGGCATCTGAAAATTTGGTGAGTATCTGGGGAAGGGGAAGTGAGAGAGGGGGTGGGGGGAAAGTACTTATTGCGCCGGTGTAGGTTTGGACGGTTGCGAAGAGGGTGGTTAGGAGGGATTCGATGGATGCTTCTGGGGCTTGGCGGGGTAGAAGGGGTGATGCGAGGGAGAGGGTGGTGAGGGTGAAGAAGGTGAGGTTTGAGAGGCGCATTTTGGTAGATGGGGAAGGGGGGTTCTTGGGTGGAAGGAAAAAATTGGTTGGCTTTATTCGGACGGAGGTGTTGGAATAAGAAGTTTATGTTCAGTCTTGAATGTGCTGAACAATCATTGATTCTTGTATATCGTACGCTTTTACTACTAATAGCAAAATCCTGTTCCTTGTTTCTAAGTATCCGCCCCTTACTCTTGTCTTTCCATGGCATGACAGCATACTCGTCATCCCTCATTTCTTTCGACCTAGAGTCTCGTTCGCGTAGAGCCGTGATTCCCGTTTTCCATTCCATGCATTGAACAACCGAGCCGTGTCTAGCGAGAAAACCAAAAGTATTGATAACATGGACCCCTTGCTATAATATCGTCAGGTAGATGCTCCGCGGACGAAGAAACACCATGTGCAAACATCCCTTTGCCTAGACCCGTTCATAACAAAAAACACTAAACATACCCGCCTTCCAGTATCCGCTCTTACGATCCAGCCCTACAACTACCTCGATGAGAAACACTCAAAAAAGCCAAGCGTACATGCATGACGTATTCGGCAAGCTTGCGACCGGTATCCCATGTCCCGCGACCCGCTATCTCTCACGCTTTTGCCGCATCCACCTAGCGCACGTATACACTCGTATGCAAGCGGGTCCTTGGCTAGAACCGCTTTTGCGGTATGGGCTGCGAAAGGGGCGGTCGTACGTCATAAAGACAACGTTAGCCTTTCGAGTAATAGGAGTTGGCGGTCGATCTACCAGGTGTTTATCGATGTATGGATAGATGCGATCTCAGTGAGCTCTCAAAAGGTATCAGTTGTATGAAACTAACTTTTATGATAGCGTCGTCTGGATCGCTAGCTAGCTGTTCTTCTTGCAGCGCAGAAGCGCCTTGTGCAGTCTTCATTGATACAATCTGCACAATGTGTGTGCTCAATTCCATGCCTCTCTGCCTCTTTCTTTGTCAACATCTTCCCATCGTTACATGTTTCACATGTGACATTCAGAACAGCTTCGAGAACTTTTTGTGTGTCGCCTGGTTGGGGTTTTGCGCAGGGGTTTGACCACCGCAGTCGTGTTGTAGATGGGATGAAGAAGTCTTCGCTCGACCCTGGTGGGGAAGCCGGAGCAGCCGGGTCAGGTGGGAGTTGGGAATCAGCTAATGTTGACTTGTTGCCCGTGGGATTGAATTGAAACGGTGCGTGTGTTGAAAGGATGGAATCGATCGTACTACTCGAAGCAGGCGAGCTTCTATCAACAGCAACGACAGGACTATTGTGCGTTGTCGGCTCAGGTGTGGTCGGCTCTGGTATTTTATCTGGCGAATAAGGCACCATGTGCAGTACTGCACCGACAGGGTCTATGTTAAATTCGACACACGAAATACCCAAGGTTGCACGCATCAGGACAATCTGCATAATTTCATCCTTCTCTTTAGGATCCAACAATCGTGTGTTCGAGTGCCCAACCGTCGTTTCGAGAAAGTATCGACTGGCTACGGAGAAGTATGCTTTGCGCAAAACTGGTTGGATATGTTCGGGTACCATGCTTTGCATGTAAAGCGTAAGATCGCCTGTCGGCCGTGTACATGACATGACTTGCTCGTACGTCTGTGTTGTCGAGATGGGAAAAAGGTCGCCACACCCTTGAGACGAGGCGCCATCAAGAGTCCCGGCATGTGTCCCGGAAATCTTAGCAATCAGAGCGGACATTACTTCAGATAGCAGTGGCTCGTCGAAAGTTTCAGCCGCGAGAATATACGGTTGCACGCCGTCAGGGTCTTCGGCTTCTGGGTCTGCGCCCCCGTCAAGAAGAACCTGAAGACATGCAACAAGATCGACAGCAGGGCATTCTGTAATACACTTGCGCAATGGACTTATTAGGCTGCCTTCTGTGCGGTTTGGACTTATGCCTTTTCCAAGCAAAACTTGAATATCGCGCAGTGTGTCGGTGCCGTGTCGCTTTGCATCTGGACAGCTACCGAGAACTTCCTGGAGAAGCAGCGAACCATTTTCATTTGGCGTTTGAGCAAATTTATCGATAAGCAATCTTGCAATCGTTGGTGTCGAGTGCCAAAGTGCCTGATGCACAAAAGTCCCCTTGGCAGGTGACCGACAAGGAACTCCCTGAAAGGACAACTGGAGATTAACACCTTTGCTTATCAACATTACAAAGCACTCGAGCTCTTCTTCAGGGACTTCAAAAGCCCAGTAAGGACGATTTTTCCATGGCTGTAAGAACGCGTCAAACGTCGATTGAATCATAGGATCTTGAGAAGTCCTGTGGACATTTGCTCCTGCAGTGAGCAGCTGTTTGAGAATCTTGTGACAGTTTTTGCGATACAAGGGATCAGAGTAGTTATTTATCCTGCGCACCAGACACAGCTGTAGCGGAGAATTTACGCATGTCTGGACAAGCGGGGGATCCGGATCCTCGACGTTTGCGCCTCGGCTCAAAAGGATGCGGACGACTTCTGGATGCATCCAGAATACAGCTTGTCGAAGTGGTGTCCATTTGGAGTCGGAAATACCATCAATAGCCGAGCGGCCCGATAGGAGTAGCGTTTGAACAGTATATACACGTCCGTTTTTTATGGCGTTGTGCAAGGCCAAATCCGAGCCAAGTGGATGTATGGAGCCTTTTGCACCATATGCACATAGGACCCAAACGACTGGCCCGCATGGCATACCGCACGCGACATCAAGCATGGTTTGTCCAGGGTGCTGCAGGATGACCATGCGGTTGAGTGCGGGGTGGCCAAAGAGGCGATTCGTGGCATCACACAAGAGTGAGCCGAGGGGATCATTGACGTGGTCTTTATTCTTGAGAATGAGCCTTTCGAGCCGCTCAGCGTCGCTATCGAGGATTGCTTCAACCATATCCAATACTATGGCTGATGTCTGAGAAGAATCTACAGGCCACGTTTGAGGAGGTACTTGGAGGCTGTGACATGTTGGGTAAGTATATGTTCAATTACCAAGAAGCACTCCGACCGGATCTTACTCTTGAGGCTCCATGAACGTTGGCTCCACATTATCAACCGCTTCGTCAGCAGCCAGACTCGGCAGATTAGCACCAATCTGCCAATCCCTAGTCTCCAAGGGATTCTCTGGTAATGATTCATTCGTGATCACAGTCTCATCTGTCCCACTTGGTTGCTCCTCCCATCCGTCATTGTCGACCGCTGGACTACTCTTGCTCCTCTGCCTTCTACTACGTCGGTGCTGAACAGTACCGCGCGGCTTGTGTCTCATGAGCCCCCACTCTTTCAACTTCATACGATACGCCCTTGTACTTTTCTCCAAGTATCAGTAAGTCGTACATCTAGTATCATCACTACTTCATACGATATCCACTTACGAAGCGCAAAACCTGTATTTCCGTTCCATCATCTCTTTCACTTCCTCGAGTGTTTTCTTTTGTGAGAACGAAAGCTCCTTGACTTCATCTTGGACTAGATCCCAGTCTTTTGTCATCTTGCAAACCTTATTAGTGAGCCGGGGGTGCAAAAGCGACAGGTAGTGGAATTGTTGCACTTGAATAATATGAGATGATTATGAGTAAAGCGCATATATGTACTAGAACAACCACCAGGGAACAACCTTGGCAGCATGCAAAAAACAGGGGTACACAGGTTAGTTGAAATGCAAAAGGACACGACAAGGAAAAAGATGTTTACTGTGCAATTCCGGTGTTTAAGTATATATTTGCACATAATGCGTAGTAGCTGAGTGCAAAAGTGAGAAGGGGGCTGACAGTGACGTTTTCGAAAGTGCAATTCTGGAACTAGTGTGCATTTCGCCTAGCGCCTCAGTCAAAAATTGCACAGTCTGGCTCAGCCTCAGCCTGGACTGCACTAGCAGCACAAAGACTATTGGATACCCTTCGAGACTTCGGCGCATCATGCAAAGCCCAAAGAAGTAAGCCACGTGGGAAAATCTAAACTTTGTCATTCAAAATAATCATCTATGTATATAACCAAGGCAAAGGTATCTCATCTATCGTAACGCTAGAAAACAAACTTAATCATAGAAAGGTCATGAAAGGTTTTATCGACCACCAATCTGGTTCTTCGGAATGGGCCTAACCCACAAGAAGATGCAGTTGAGCGCAATGATCATTATGCCACTGATCCAGAAGACTTGTGAGTAGTCCGTCTTGTGGTAGCGGAAGATGATGGCGAAGATGATGCCACCAAAGTTGCCGGTCGCACCAACGATACCAGAAAGAACACCTCGAATACTGTTAGCAGCTGATATATAATCTTGGATTTGGAAGAACAAGACTCACCATTGGCATGAGGGTGAACATGCGGTACCAAAGCGAAGTTAGCACCGTTGCCAGCTTCGAGGAAGATGGCCATGACAGCAATGAGTCCAATCATCTCATCCAGGTTCTTGGGGTCCACCTTTCCAATAACAATACACAGGATACCAGACATGACTCCAACAAAGTGGATCCAGAATTTCTTAGCCCAAAGGCTACGCCCGGTGACTTTGTAGATGTAGTCAGCAATTACGCCACCAAGAGGACGTGTGACGACGTTTAATAGACCAAACATGGCAGCCCATCGACCGGATTGCGTTTGGCCAAGGTATGGGAAGTTCTTGAGGTAGTAGGCGCCGAGGATGGAGTTGATGGCTAACTCGCCGCCAAAGGAACAGAAGTAGCCGGCACAAAGCGATGCGGTTTGAAGGGAGAACATGACTTTCATAGCTTCCTTGAAAGTGGGCTTGACGATGACTTCGTGTTGGACTTCATCGATGACTTGGACGTCTCCACGTCCGGCCTCGATATCCGTGGTAGATTGTCGTTGTTTTTTCTCGTCGTTGGAAGCTATGGAGCTAGCAGCCGTCGGTTTCTCATCAATCGCACCTGTTATAGGTACGACGGATGACTGTGCTTGGTCACTGGACACGACTTTCACGCCGCGTTCAGACCATTTTCCGTTAGGAGTATCGTCAGTCAAGAGCAGGAGGCCCAGAGCACAAGCGGTAATCATGATGAATGGAACGATGAAAGAGACGCGCCAGGCGACGTGCGAGGACAAGCCCTGGTCTTTCTTGAGGGAATCGTAGATAGCTGGCATGACAAAGCTATTCAAGTTAGTCGAGACTATGACGCACACGACAGAATGGACCTACTATGTGATGCCGCCGCCAGAGTTGCCCCAACCACCAACCAATGCGTTGGCAGTTCCGACGACATTCTTGTCAAAGAAACCAGTGCTCCACACTTGACAAGGCACAAAAGTACCACCAAGGATACCGACAAAGAAGCGGATAAAGTAGAGGCCTGTGGCATTGGTGGCAGTACCAGCAAGAGCAGTGGGGATAGCGCCAGCAAACAGCAGCACCGCAAAAGTCTTGCGAGGACCAATGTGATCGCACATGGGCCCAGCAATGAAGCGAACCAGCAATGTGGCGCAGAGCGCTACAATATTGGAGTTTGCAATCTGATCCTGCGTGAGGTGCATGTCTGCCTTGATACTCTTACTCAGCTATAGAAATGTTAGTCGGGACCATGTTCATGGATTAAGGACACATGGTAGCCATACCAGAGGAGGAAACGCGTACCTGATCATCGTCAGTATAATGTGGGGCAAGGTGGTCCACTTGTGGGGAAGTACTTACCATGACCAGAACGCGATAAAGAAGCCCAGGTAAGAGAAGAAGAAGACCCGCCCATACTTGTTGATAGGGTTGAGTACAGGGATTGACCTGGCCTTTTGATTGTACGGGTTGACCTCTGGTGCTGACCAGAGGAGGTTGATAGCGAAAGGCATAGTGAGAATCTGAATGGATGCTGACGCTTGTCGTCGATGATGATGATGACCACAATTAGCAGTCGAGAGGTTATATAGATTGTCGACCAAAAAGCCCAATTGTGATACTTCCGCGGTGAACAGTGGTGACGCACTTACCCCAACCACCATAAGCTTATGGCGCAAAGACGTTCCCCCAGGCCAAGGACGATCAGGCTTCTCCGATACCTAGTTACGGTAATCCTGGTGGGTCGTCGTTATCTGCGTTGTCGATAAACAGCAAGTGTAAATCCAGATGTCCCAATCAATGTACGCTAAAGCGAGTAGCGAGAGTGTTCAAAATGTCTCCGATCAGCGCTTCGGCTTCAACACAGGATCCACACGGCCTTTGAGCGAATTATATTTCATCATAGTCTGGCTAAAGTGTGTGAAGAAAGGCTGAATAGTAAGGGACGAGTCTCGTCTCGCTGCGGCTGAGGACTGACGCGGGATGGTGGGGGGACGGCAAAGGCGTTCTCCTTATCTCTTGGCGCTAACCATGCGAGAGACTAGACAAGGAGCCCAACATGGGTCCTTATCAGAACTTGTAGAGATAATATGAATTGCTGCTTTTCCGCGGTCATCAGCTTTTGACAGAGAGCTTCTGTTGTGAGAGTAACTTCCCAGCTTCTTTTGGCGCTTGCTGTTCCTTTGGATTCCGGGATCTCTGCTTCGTGGCGTGAGCAAGAACTTTAGTCTCGCCCAGACCACAAAGCAACTTTGGATATCGACCAAAGCCACGGTTCCAGATCGCAAACTTGCTTTTGTGGTTTGAAATTGGCGCAATGTGAGGTCTACGAGGTCCAGAAGCCGAGTTTGTGTATTGTCCGGAAATGGAAACCTGTCATGATAAGCATCACAAACTGTTGCAGGCAGAAGAACCACCGAGCAGAAGTCCGCCCACTTTTGCACAGTTATTGCAATCTTGAGCTCAGATTGGGCACGGATTTGGCTTTGGCAATCTGTTCCTCGATCAAAGCCTGTCGCTTACGACACAGGTGTGGGCCAATCGGCAGTGGCATATGTGCCTTATCTCGCATGACTGCAACTTCGCTCCGCTACGACACCGCACCCATGATGGGCAAATCATAGTCCGGTAATGACCTGGGGAGAAAGACTGTTGTATGTTCGCCCAGAAGTTTGGAAAACGTCATCGTAGCTCCTGTGTTGTTGAACTTCATCACGCCAAGTTTCGCGCAGCCTTAGGAGATAATCTTGGGGCGTCAGGAAATACTACTCGTTTTTCTGACGCACGACTGAGAAATGTGTAACCTGATAGTCTCTGTTGGCTTGACATGTGAGAGAGGTGGGTGTATAGCGATATCGGAGCAATAACTATTGGAGTAGCAGACGAAAAGGTAAAATGTGTGGTGAGCACAGAGCAGTTGGAATCAAGCATCTCCGGCGATAAAGAAGTTCTTGCGGATGTGGGTCTTTTCGAGATTGTGAAATTGATTTTGTTGAGCAACCGCGGAGATGCTGAGCTGTTTCAGACTCACTGGGTTCTTGCAAGGAGCAGCTTTTCATGGCTGTGACTTGATAAGATGCTTGCAAATACCTTTACAAAAGAGACAAGATTGAGTCTGTTCAAGGGAAAATCCTGCTTACCCACTTCACTGAAGACCTGCACAGTTGAAGCCTTTCCAATGTTCTCTTGCCTTGAGCACACCTAGGCCATATGCTACCGCGCCACACACAACCAGCACATGCATAATCTGGTGGCTACTACCGACAAGATCGTAACGTTTCAGATACCATCTTTCAGGCACCTTGCTTGCATACGTTATTGCACCCGTGCCGTGACAAAGCCCAAGTGCAAGATAGTAGGACAGACTCATCCTCTGTTCCATTTGCTGCCATCCAAAGAGGTGCAAGCCGTGAATAATGGGCAGGAATGAAGAAAGTCCAAGGAGAAGATAAGTTACTGTTCGGAAACCCTTGGAAGCTGTGCCAGTAAAGGAAGGATGGAGTGTAGTAACTGCACATGCGAGTCCTGCGCCCGTGACGAAGACAGTGTAAGTCTTGCGCAGGTCAGGTTCGCAGCGAAAGCCAAAATGGGTGCTGGCAATGGTGGTGCCCCAGAGAGGAACCACGATGCCGAGGTAGTCGAAGCGACTTGTCCATGTGCGGGTGCTTTGACTGTGGTCTAGAAAGATGTGGTAACTGCGCTTAAGTGTCAGTTCTTTGTTCTTTTGTCTGAACGAGCATCACTTCTACGCCAATAGTGTGCGATGTATCAGTATAGTCACTGTTTTTGGTAGGATCAGTGGAAAGGGAAAAGAAAGAAGTACGACTCACACAAAGGAAAAAAAGAAACATGCTATGACCGAGATGAAGTAGATCAGCACTGCCAACTCATCTTTTGCATGTCTGTCCAGTTCCCTCATATACAGCCCCAAAGCGGCCATGGCATATAGGAAGCCCGCAGTACCCAAGATATGCGACCAAATATTGACGGTCTCATTATGAATTTGGAACACACTCCTAAGCGAGCGCTGGTAGGAAAAGGTTGCTCGTCTGTCAACAGTTGATCAGCATTGTTCATACAGATGAGTGAATCAAAAGAGGTAGGTTCTTACCGGTGCTTTGTCAGTATAAACTCGTTGTCTTGTTGCCAATGTACTGTATACGTAAACTGTTAGTTGACCACCCAAAATGGCTTGTGACGAGTAGCAGAACAGATGCCCTTACACAAGTCATCCCATTCAAGCAATTCATCTTCGTCATTGAGACCCACAGACTGAAGACCTTGGTCTCGGTCCCTCTTCTTGCCAAACCGGTCATGCTGCTGTTGTGTTGAGGTTGTGCCATAATTCCCATATCCATTTGTCTGTCCTTCCACAATCCCCGCTTCCTCTTTACTAGCGCCTTGGCAAGTAAGCAATGTCATTATCGGATCTAGATCGCAACGGTGCAGTAGGAAGATCTATCGTACAACAATTGCCATTTGCCTAAATGTCGCGCACCCGGAAAGATATAAAGAAAACACCCTCGAATGTACGCTTGTTCGACTTCATCGCAAGTTATCATTCTGACCATGATTAAGTCACCAAGACGTTTGTGATTGCGCCAGCATGACGCAGCCCAAGAGTCCGCGGAAGTAATAGGTGTGCGACTTTTTTTGGAGTATTGTCAGAGTTGCTTTTGGATTGTTTGTGTGCTGGTAAACATGGTATTTGGGACGAATCAGTGTCGGACGGGACGGGAACTTGACGTCAGTATGTGGTGTAGGGTGCGATGCCGATGCACCACAACGCTGGCCAGACTTTGGTATAAGTTTCGTTCCTTTTGGCTTTCCTGTGGTAACTTTTCAGCTGTTACCATGGAACAACAGCTCAAAGGGAGAGGAATGGATTGGCTGTTGATGGTAATTGTCTTCTCTAGACCACGTCACTTGAAAACGAAACTCGAAGTATCATTGATGTTGATGGCTTACGCCTTGCATTGGTCATAGCCCCATATTTTCAGTTTGCGCCAAGTATGCGACAGCCGTAATCTAATAACCCGCCTTATCATACCATGGAGCAACAGGGAAACAACACTTTGTGCTCGTTGGGCATTATTGGTTGATCCAAGTAACACGATATGCAGATGACAGTAAGCCCAATGGCTGGCAAACATAGCAATAATAGCAGTAAGAAGAGGTCAAGAAAAGGGCAAGCCAGGAAGGATTAGACTTGCAGAGCCGAAAATCGCATAGGCCGATGTTTCGAGGATGATGAAGACTGTGTTTTAGTAGGTACGATGTCGGCGAAGGTTTCAGGGGTACGCTGATCAGGAAATTGCCGTACGCAGGTCACTCGTGGGAGGAACGGGCAAGATGGTATTGTGTCTCGAGTTGAGGGCTTGGTATGCTCAGAAGTCGGGAAACAGGTGCCCGTGGCTATTCGGACACGTCAGAATATGATCTACAGTGTAAGGAGGACTCTGCACGCACGGGTCGTCCCCTGCCTGACCGTATGCCTCCGTCTCCTCCGGATACTTATCGAATTGACTGGCATCACCGACTCCGGCTCGAACGGGTGGCACGTATGGAGCGTCAATGTCCTTCTTTTGTAACCGGTCCCAAGTCACCTCGGCGAACCAAGGGTGGTTCATAACGTCTTTGCTGCCACCGTGCAAGTTGCCCAATCGCTTGGTCAGATCCGGCGTGATGAGCTTTTGCAGGAGGTCGTGGGCGTCGGGGTGGATGTAGGGCGGGTACTTTACTCTCGACTTGAGAATGTTTTCGTAGATCTTCATGGGCGAGCCGCCGTCCCAGAAGGGCGTGAAGCCGCACAGCATTTCGAAGATTAGGATGCCCAGTGACCACCTGGCGCTGTTAGTAGACGCCAAAAAAATGGATTGCTGCTCGCGACTCACCAATCGACCGACTTGTTGTAGCCTTTGGAAGCGACAACTTCGGGTGCCAAGTAGTCAGGCGTTCCGCACAGGGTCCATGTAATGTCGGGGACCTCTTTGGCAAACCCAAAATCCGTAATCTTGAGGTGGCCGTGGCGGTCCAAGAGCAGATTCTCGGGCTTCAAGTCACGGTAGATGATGTTGTGCGAGTGCAGGTAGTCTAGCGCGAGTGTAACCTCTGCGGCGTAGAACTTTGCGACGGGATTGGGAAAGCGCTATGGGAGTTAATGTCCATTTATGCCCGAAATCACTGCGCAACAAGGGGCCAAGAAAAGAGAAGAGGGGAAACGAGAAGAATAAGTACCTGAGACTTTCGCAATAGGCTGAACAGCTCACCGCCCTCGACAAAGTCCATGACCATGTAGAGGTTTTTGGAGTCCTGAAAGGTGCCCCAGAGGGTGATCAAGAAGGGATGCTTGACCTGCTGCAGCATGCGGCGCTCGTCGTTTGTGTGCTCGACCTGCTTCATCTTGACGACCTGGGCCTTTTTCAGCACCTTGACGGCGTAGAAGCGCTGGTTGTGCTTGGACTGGACGAGGTGGACACGGCCAAAGCTGCCGGTGCCGAGGGTGCGCTGGATGGTGAAGTCGGTCAGCGAGTACTTGCCCTTTGTGACGCGGGCCTGGTTGAGGGGCTGTGTCTGGAACTGGACGGCGCCATTCTTAGCGGACGGGTGGTGGGAGGACGAGGTGTTGGAGGAAGTGGTGGTGGTGGTGGTGGTGTTGTTGGGGTGTATGAGGTTCTGTATGCTAGGCGTGTTGCGCGAGTGCTGGGGGTTAGACTGGGGGCTCGTGGCTGTATATTGCTGTGATTGCAAGTGCTGCTGCTGCTGTTGTTGTTGCGGCTGCTGCTGCTGCTGGTGCGCGTGGGCGGGGTTCATTGAGTCTACGGGCTTGGGGGTCGCGGCAGGCGCGCCCGGGGCGGTGGAGGCGGACGAGGTGCCGGTGCCGGTGCCGGTGCCGGACGTGTTTGTGGTGGAGCTGGAGATTTGAGCAGCAGTCGTGGCGTCGTGGGCCGAAGTGGCGGTGGTGCTGGAGTCGTTGGTCTTGGTCTTGTGCAGGTGGAAGGAGCCCGACTTGCGGGAGCCGGTGGGCGTGACGGGTGAATGCGTGTCCTTTGTGGGCGAGGCGGGCGAGTCGAGGTCGCGCGAGCCGTTAGAGTCCTTTGTGCGCTTCTTCTTGAGGAAGCCCAGGGTAGGCATTGGAGGGGCGGGTCGACTCGTGCAGCGGCGCTGCGCTGCCGGTATGCTTCAACGCAGGTCGCGGGGGCGATGTCAGTAGTGTCTAGTGAGCGAGCGAGGGCGCGTGCATAGGCGCAGTGGATGATGAGCGGACAATGGATGGGACGATGAGGTCGTCGACGGGGTTGGTGGTTGCGGATGCGGCGTGGGCGGGCAGAGAGCGGCGGGCTTGGGGGCTTGGGGCGTTCGCTAGTCCTGGCTGGTCAGCGGTGGTGCGTCGTCGTAGTCGTCGTCGTCGTCGTCGTCGAGGACAGAACAGGACAGGACATTTGAGGCTTCGGCGGGGAAGACGCTGCAGTCTGCCCGCGCATCCAAGCTGCCACTGTTTCACCCTCGGGTTTGGCTGCCCACCCCATCTTTGTCTCTTATTGACTTGACTATTATACTTGGTACGACATGCACTATCTATAACACTACAAGACCTATGTTTGTATACATATGCCCTGCCCTGCCCTGCCTCTCACCCCACACCCACCCACCCACTCACCGCACCGCACCGCACCGCACCCAGCCCGTCCCTTGCCCGTCAGCAGCGCGGCCGCCGGACGCCATGGCTTGTTGCGTCATGCGTACCAGCATCGAGGAATCCCAGTCAATGACCGCAACATCCCCAGCCCCCCAGCCTTGCCCACACCGGACAGGCACCCTCTCACATTGGTCCCGATCCATACATGCATGCCCCTTTAGCGCCATCCCTATTTCATTACTTACTTACTTACTGTCTACGGTATCATCACCATAGTACCCAACTCCATGTGCACCAAATCATAAAAATAAGAAAAAAACACCATGCCCCCCCACCCCCAAAAGAAAAAACACATATGTATACACAGCGTACGCACACACGCACACAAGTACCCTCTCGTGTTCCTAACCCAACCCAGATGCTAGACGTGACTTCATACATAAACATTGGTTTTGCTCGTTTCAGAGCTCGGCACCTGTCCGCTCCGTTTCAGCTGCCCCACCAGACACCGCCACGGCCTCATACGTCTCCAGGTCCAGCCCGCACACCTCCATGCGCCGCTGCCGGAATCTCTCGTATAGCCCGCTCCATGCTTCTTGCGCTTCTGAGTTCTGCGGACGCAACCGCGCCCGCTCAGCATACGGCACGTCGTACTCGGGCCCCGGCAGTTCGGGATCGCTCAGTCGCACAAACGTTGTCGCTTGCTCAAATGCCGTCGCGTTGAAGTCTTCGCTTGCCTGCCGCAGGTTCTGCGACTCGTACACGACATTGCCCATTGACAGCGACCACTCGGAAATGAGCGAGTCAGGCACGCTAAATGTCTTGCGGAACATGTTGAGATCTGACGTCGGCTTCGATGCCCGCAGTGCCCGCAGCTGGTTGTAACTTTGCTGTGACGGGTGAACCATGAGCAGCGATGTCGACATGTCTGTCCGCTCTGCGGTGGCGGGGTATGCTGCCATTGGCTCCGACTTGGAAAAGGCAAGCAGCGAGTCGAGAGCAGACGCATCCAGCAGCACGCCTGGCCCTTGGAGGTACAGTAGGCGCTCATAGTCTACCAGTGAATACAGACTGGCTAGCGAGTAGGATGAGGGCAGTGTGTCTGTGATTATCATAAGCGCCTGCCAACAATTGCCCATTGTCAACAATCTCACCGTCTGCGCCTTCCACAAGGGGCTCCATGGGGATCAGTTTCACTCCATACCGTCTCGCTGCCGTCCGCAGCAGTCTCCGCGTAGTCGTCATCTCAGGGCTGTACTTGTTGTCTTCAGACTCTACAAGCCATAGTTTGGGGAACATCAATATCCTCTTTGCGGGGCTCTTCATCCTATGCAAGTCCGACAGCAGCATGACGGCACTGCACAGTTCCACATGCTCGCGCACAACCTGCACGTAGCCCAGCCTGCTCCAATCCATCGTCAAGCCTGAAATGTACTGTGCATATGTGTCATCCACCTCTGGACGGCTGCCCATGGGCCTCGCCCATTTCGCATCCAACGTTGGTGGTTCTATTGGTTTGGGCGGCGGTAACGGCTTGGGCAGTCGTGGTTTGATGGCGGCTTGGAGCGAGTGTACATAGCGTTGCTGCAATACCCATCCCGACAGGAAGAGGGCAAGTGTGAAGAAGAAGACTAAGCGCGCCTGTCAGTCGAGGGGCATGACATCAGACATTCACCAACCGTACCAATGGTAATGGACAAGAGGACCGAGACCTGCCCCGAAGTGAGAAGGAGGCGGCCCATGCCGATAAGTGAATGCGCAACACAAGGAGTATCAAAAGAGTCTTGGTGATCGAGGAAAGGGCATGCAGAATACCAAGTGGTGCATGGGCAAGAAAGTGTACAATGTGCATTGGCGTTACATGCAGTCGAGTTCTAGATGCCCCCATGTTCGTAGGGCTGCATCTTGCCTGTCGTTGAAGGGGCAACAATCGATAGCTAGCCACCAGTACCCTGTCTCAAATTATCTCACCCGCAAGCTTACCTCGACCTTCGCAAAGGGAACACAGCGGTGCGCGCGCAGTCCTGATCATCACTTGGGACAGCATATCCGAAATCCATACACTCAAGGCGACCCGTCCCCGACACATGTCGAAACCGCAATTTGATCGCGCCGACGCGAGCGCGCTCCTCGACGACCGTGGATACCGTGGCGCCCTCATCCGTGGCCAGAACCCGGCACTTCTTTTCGAAAAGGGTGTGCGCGAGCGCATCACAGAGTCATACTATTGGAAGGAACAATGTTTCGGTCTGAACGCTGCAACACTATGCGATCGCGCCGCAGAACTCAAGTTCATCGGTGGCACCACGGGCATCACAGGCAAACCAACGCCATTCCTGTGCCTGGCCTTCAAAATGCTCCAGCTGGTCCCAGATAAGGAAATTGTTCTCGAGTACCTCAACTTTCGCGACGATGAGGATGACGAAGATGACAAAGATGACAAAGCCGAGGTCAAGAGAGAGAATGGCGATACGGCAGCCGACGACGACGACGACTCTGCCAAGAAGGAGCTTGACTTGAATGCAGCGGGTAAGCTTGGCTGCTTCAAGTATCTCCGCTGCCTCGCTGCCTTTTACATCCGCCTTGCCTGGGAGCCCGTCGAAATCTACAAGACACTAGAGCCTCTGCTCACGGACTATCGCAAGATCAAGCGCCGCCTCAAAGACACATTTACCCTCACCCACGTCGATCAGTTCATTGACGATCTCCTCACAAAAGACCGCATCTGTGCGACGAGCCTGTGGAAGTTGCCTTCGAGGGCAATTCTCGAGGATTTGGATATGTTAGACCCAAGAGAAAGTCCGCTGGGAGATGAGGTGGATGAGTTAGATGAGGACATGGACAGGAGGAGTGTAGGAAGTGAAGAAAGTTATAGGAGTCGAAGCTATGACAGCCGAAGCAGGAGTAGAAGTAGGGGCCATGAGAGTCGGAGTCGTAGCCGCAGTCGAAGCAGAAGCTATGATAATCGGGACCGAGGCAGGAGTCGTAGTCGCAGCCCGGGAGAGCAAAGCATACGAAGTCGATCAAGACGTAGCACTCGAAGCCGGAGCTCCAGTCGCAACCAACGTCACAGCAATGATGAATGACAAGGGACTTCCCGGCCTGCGGACCCCTTGCGTTTACCAAGTCAGAATTGAACCTACGCTATATACCCACCAGTCTCAATCTACATACAAACCTTATTGCAGATCATATCTTACATATCATTTGCAAAACCACAACCAGTCATATGCATGCATCTACCATACTAATTTGTCGACTACTTATGCCTATACGACTGCTCTCAAACATACGATTGTGTTATACCCATTCGCATAGTTAGTCTGCTAATCAAATGTGGAACATGGCCCAGCTATTAGATGCCCGAGGACCTGCTGGTACCACATGAGCTAACCGTTTAGAGAAGGTCCAACCGAATATACAAACATCAAGGTGGGAAAGGGACCCTCCTATGCGAGATACGCAACTCAAGTTCATTATACGTATCTTCGATTGTTCTGAGCCTATCGAACAAAAACAGCCGTCTGTCCTCAACGCATAGGAGCCTTGTGTAAACTGCACTCTGGCAACTTAGTAGACATCACCTGATCAGCACGAGTGACGTACAAAAGATGGCAAGCATCAATGTGAGTGTTTTCGTGAGACGAAGCCAACTCTACCAACAAGCGTACAGAAGATCGATGATGAGAGACCTGGTTTCGACATTGTAGAGGCCAGCATCCAGGACCACCGCAACGCCCTCAATTTGGGCAAAACAAGCAGTGTCGACCTAGTCATTGCATATCTAAACCGTATTGCTCGCTACGACACATGCAAAGGCCTCGGTGCCTTTACTGTATTCAACGACAATGTCCTTGAGGAAGCAGCAGCCTCTGATGCACGTCGGGCCCAGGGTCTGGAGCCACGACCCCTAGAAGGCATACCCTACACGATCAAAGACAGCTACAAGGTCGCCGGAATGACTGCAACTGCAGGATCCCCTGCGCTCAAGGGTGTCATGTCAAGTGAAGACTCTGCAATCGCAAAGAAGTTGCGGGATGCAGGAGCGGTGCTGATTGGGAAGACAAACATGCCCCCTATGGCCGCCGGGGGTATGCAACGAGGCATGTATGGTCGCGCAGAATCGCCTTATAATTCAAAGTATCTTACAGCAGCCTTCTCCTCTGGTTCCTCGAACGGAGCAGGAACCTCGGTAGCGGCAAGCATGGGGGCTTTCGGCATGGGCAGTGAGACTGTTAGCAGCGGGCGCAGTCCAGCTTCAAACAATGCCCTCGTCTGCTACACGCCATCAAAAGGACTACTGAGCTGCCGAGGACTGTGGCCGTTGTATGTCACGTGCGACGTACCCACACCGTACGCGCGCTCAGTTAGTGATATGCTGGAGATTCTGAATGTAATTGTTACACCGGACCAAGATACGACAGGAGACTTTGTGCGAGAACAAAAGCATGTGCAAATACCCCAGCCCCCTCAGATAGACTACACGACTCTGCGCAACACTCTAGCGTTCAAAGGAAAACGGGTTGGAGTCCCAAAAATGTATATCGGCCAGAAAGACTCGGATCCATACGCAAAGCCTACCTATGTTTCACCAGAGGTCATTGCACTGTGGGAAAACACAGCCAAAAACCTCCAAGATCTAGGTGCAGAAATTGTTTACACCGACTTTCCTCTAGTTACAAATTACGAAAACGACTCGGTATCCGGTGAAGCCAACAACGTACAAAGCCAACCAGCAAACTGGAACCTCATAGAACGCGGCATCCTCATCGCACAAGCCTGGGACGCCTTTCTCGTGCAAAACAATGACGCCAAAATTAAATGTCTAGCAGACATCAAGGATTCCGCAATGTTATTCCCCAAGCCCCCAGACTACAAACCCGACACCTTCCTCGAAGTCCGCAACTGGATCGATTACGCCGGTCTCCCCAAGCTCGTCCAGAAAACCAGCATCCACGGAGTGCAAGGCTTGAAGCAAGCGCTCGAAGCGCTCGAAGCCCAGCGCAAACGTGACCTGGAAGACTGGATGGATACCCATAAGCTAGACGTCCTTGCGTTCCCCGCCCAAGGCGACGTTGGGCTCGCAGATTTAGAATTCAATCTCGACAGCACAACGCACAGCCTGCGCAACGGCGTCAAGTACTCGAACGGGAACCGCGCGATTCGCCACTTGGGCGTGCCGACCGTCAGTGTGCCCATGGGTCTCATGAGCGAGAAGAAGATGCCGGTTAATATTACGTTTGCAGGCCAGGCGTATCGCGATGCGAAGTTGTTCGAGTTTGCGTATGCGTTTGAGACGGCGACGAGGAGCCGGGTTGCACCTCCGCGCACACCGGGGTTGCCGACGGATATCGCTACTTCGGCGGTAAAGTCGCTGGCGGAGGCTGAGCCGGTGATAGTTGGGGTTGAGGCCAAGGTGGACGAGCGATCAGGTTCTGGGGAGATTTCTATGGTTGTTCGTGGTACGCTGCACAAGGTGGTGCCGCAGACTAGCGTGCAGGTTTTCGTTGATGGCAATCGAGTAGCCGATATGACCACGGATGGCGCTGAGTGGTCTATTACACATAGCCATGTGCCCGAGAGACCGCCGATTCTGGGCTGGGATCTTAAGCCGTTGCCGCCTAGGGATGTTATGATTCTGGTTGTTGTGACGAGCAAAGGTGACGGTAAGGGAAGTGGAAAGAGGGAGGCTAGATTGCTTTGGGTACCGTTGGAAAAATAGGTTGGTTCGGTGGGATGATGGGGTGGGATTATCTATCGTCTTTGTCCTTTGTCATATATGGTCGTGTTCAATTCTGCTGTCCATGTTATTGCTGTGAAGTCGATTTTCTATTCGCCGAGTAAGTTTGATGTTTTTGCTTTCGTGTCTGGATAATCAATCAGTGCCTCTACCTTTAATGGCGGTGTGTGTGTGTGTGTGTGTTCGACTTACTCCGCTCATATTGAACCTCCTCCCAAATCAAATCGCCATCCTTGATGTAAGCAAACCAAACCAAGAAATGCAAAACACAAGTACAGAAAAGTTGGAAAATCAATGTTGAATAGAAGAAGAAAGAAGGTGAAATTCTCTTATCCCACTACCACCTCCGCAGAATCGGTAGTGTCTAATCTATACGCCCCCCTCTCCCCCCCCCCCCCTTCCCTTCCAAATCAAAAACACTGCAATAGAAAAAACTCCTTGAACCCGCTAAACCCCTTTCATGCCCCGTTGCATGTTATCGTACTCCGTAGTTGTTGACATGTCGAAAGTGATTTTACATGACAGTGCACCAGCAAGATTCGTCGCAGCCGCAGCAATCGCAGGACTCGCCGCACTTGGGGGCAGTGGGCTTGACGATGGTGGAGATGGAGGAGGCGACGCTGGCAGGCATTTTGAGAGAGGTGGGTTGAGGTTGAGTTGGTTGTGCTGAGAAAGTAAGGTTAGAATGGAGTTTGGGGGGAGATAGAAGGGTGGGAGGGTGAGCTTACTGGTAGAGAAGAGGTGTGTGAGTGAGTGAGTGAGTAAGTTGGGGAGTAGTAGAGTGAGGTTTGTTTGGATAGTAGATTGAAGTGTTGATGAGATGATGGAATGAAGTCTAACAGCGGGCAGACAGATAGACCTTTATATCACCGCCAATGCTGATCAGCTGCCTTGAACAACCAAGTAACTTGGATAGAAAGCGTAACAGAATCAAGCACCCGCTAATTCGCGTTCAAGCCTCAAGCCCTGCGTGCTTCCCCCCCCCTCCCGCCGTTTCGACACTTGCCAGTTGTCAGGGCTGTCATTGGTCTCGCAGGACTCCGGATGCACCGCCTCGTTTGCCCTGTCATTTCTCCAGGCCCAGGCTGGGGTGGGGAATGGCTACGCGTATAGCAATAGCCGGCACGCAAAGCCATCACACCGGCGGGTGGTGGTGGCTCAGCTGGTGCTTGCGGCAATAATTCAGCAGGTGTAATTGGTTGTTTCGTCGGCGGTACTCGTATCACATATGCAATGGAGCATGACGGACCCCCTGTCTGCGCAGCCACGCATTGCGTCGTTAAGCAGCACCAAGCTTGTGGCGCCTTGCTTAATCCCTCACAGCAGTGTATGCTTAAGCTTCGCCAAGCCGCCGCCCAAATCTTGTTTTGGCGAGCCGATGGATGACACCCCGGGTCCAAGAGCCACACCGATCGCGTATACGGCTGTGCCACAGGTGGAGTGGGCGAGACAACATCTTTACCGGCGCATGATGCCGCTATGCAGTAGCTCGCTGCGTAAGCTTCTGTCTTGCGGGAAAAAAAAATCAAAATCCTGCTGGGTACGCCGCGGCGTAGTATGACGGTGGGTAAGTAAGCTGGACACGGCGGTGATTTGTTTTTCTCCCTCGTCATCTCACCAAAGCGAACAGATAGTCTTTAGTCCTAATAGATTGTTCGCTTCCGTATGCTCTTTACAGTGACATTGTATAGATTTCCAGGGTGCTCACGTTTTGCGGGCCGAAGGGGGGGTGTAGATGCGGTATTTTGGGCGTTAAGGACGTAGCAAACGGTCTGTAACGCTGCCTTCGTAAGCTCAAACGCTGGCCTCATACTACTACCTCTTCCCATGGACGTGTCTCGAACAAGTCATCACATAGACTGGGATCTAGCAACGGGATTTCGGATACATGATTTGGGATGGAAGCGGATCAAGCGGAAGCCGCTGGGTGACATCCCGGAAATGACTCCGGCCACACCCTGGCATGGAGGAAACAAGCATGCAGGTCAGCCACGTTCACTACATATTCTAGACTGATAGCAATTTACTTTGCTAAATTTTATCACCCAGTCATCAGGCCATTTGTGTGTTTCGAAGATGAAAAAGGGTCTTCTATCTTCTCCTACACCCGTTGTCAGTCTTCGTACGGTCCGGTCCTAGCGCATCCCCCATCCGGTCACATCCGAATGACATTGCTCGCCCTGGAGCTGATGAGAAGCCCCCAAATTACATGCGACAATGCTCTCTGCAAAAATATGGACGAAATGTCTTTACTATGGCCATCTCGCTGGTATCATGCTGTTAGTTGAAAGGGCATGTCCTAGTGCTTGGCCACCTTGGCACATTCTTGACTGGAAGGACAAGTTTCAGCCATCATAGAGAGAAAGAAAAAAAAACCACGCAGAAAATGCATCAAATGATATGACAGCGCGCCCGTTCGATAACGAAGGCACAGGACTATCATTACACATTGACTACCTAGTACAAAGGAAGTTCTACAAGCTACACATCTAGTCAACATCAACACTAAACCCACTCGGCACCACTTCCCGCCTGCAAACTCCTCCCTAGCAACAACCATATACTCAACCGTCCCCGCCTCCATGCCCGCCCAATCTCACGTCTCAAAATGCTCCTTCAGCGTAACCCCCCTTCCAACACGCCTAACACTCCTAGTAGACCAGTACTGCTTATACGATATCGAGCCGTCAATCGACGGCTTATCAACGCGCTATCTAATGAAGAGACTGTAGTCGCCTTCTTTTGAGGAAAAGTTTCCAATACTAGGGGTTCAGGACGAGGCGGGGGAAAGCGTGGCGTACGATTCCACGACGAAGAATTCGACGAGCGGGTCGCCGTAGATGGGCGAGCGTAGCCGAGGCCGCTGGGATGATGTAAGTGCTTGTGTAAGAAATCCCTCTATTTTCCCTTGTCAGCAAAGCAAACCCCCCCCCCCCCCCCTATTCTTAGATCTCTTTCTTCATA